TTAGCAAATCTGTTGTGTTATTTCAATCAGGTATGTAATTTCTAGCTTGTGGTTGTTGACAGAAGTTAAAGTGCTTATAAATATAGGTTCTAAGTGGAATTTGGAGATGGCTTGTCTCCAGAACTAAACAAGCCTTTTATATGTATTTATAAATACCCTCTATTCTGCTCCTAATTGTGTACCATAAATTGAAGGTGGAAAATACCCTTTCTCACAACAAATTTAAGGTGGGAAATTATCTTTCTCACAATAGGTGGGAGGATTTTATTTCACTTGGAAACAAACATCTTCACTCTTGTGCTACTGTTTTCAAACTGCATTAGTTGATTTGCTTGATTTAAGACTCTTAGTTGAATTCTAAATTACTGTACAGGTCACTTGGTGCTCTTACTTCTGAGTCCTTATAGTCCTTCTTTTTTGTGACTCTGTGTTATGTTTTCCTCTGCAACCTCTCCTTCCCTCAAGAAAGGTGATTTAGAAACATTTTCATCAATACATACTGTGGCTTGATTGCTTTAGGTCAATCTCTCCTGTATAATATCACAGTGCTAAGAAATGTGGGAACATGTTCTTCATGTAAAAAAACCCTAAACAAACCAACAACAAAAAACCCCAAAGCATCTCTGAAGATAGGCCTCTCCATGTTTATTCAGATGTTTTACTAACTTCGTAAGGACTTATAAACAACAATTTTAATCTTGATTGCTTATTTCTGTATATGTCTTCTATACTCCTCTGATTTCGGTTAAAATGTACTTCTAGACTCTAGAGGAGTTTTTTGGTGGATGGCCTTTTTTTTTTTTTGGTGTATAGTCCTTGATTTTTACATATTAGAAGTTCTTTACCTGCTGTAACTGCACTTATTTTACAAATAATTTCATGGTGTAATAGTTACTTAATGGAGAATATTTCATTAGAGGTAAAGCTGCTGTTGTAAGATTTTTGTGTGGTTCCAGAGTTAAAATCAGAAGTCAGAACTCAAGAAGAGCAAACTAGTTTGGAAAGGATTTACAGAAACTCTGCCTTTCTGTATCAAAACTTATTTTGGATTCCAAAGCTGTTCCTTTCCTCAGTTTCATGGCATCAGAGGAAAACCTCTTGTTCCTACTGTGAAAAACGAAATGTTCCATGTGCCCTTATTAATGTGCTCATCTATGTTTATAAAGAAATAATAATCCTAAATTTGGATTGATGACTCACCATGGCTTCACTGTATTTGGAAGAAAATTCAGTGCTATGTTGTGACTGATGCTTAAAAGAAGAAAACTGGTCTTATTTCAGATCTTAAAATGGAGTACTCAATGTTGCTAGTCTCAGTATATAAGCATAGTATCTTCTTGAAAATGTAAGTGATTATGTGTAATGTATAATTACTAGTCTAGGCTATGGAAAAAAATATAGTGCTTTCGGTGTTCTATTTGAGAGGAAAAGTGGGGAATATATACAGAAGAATGTGAGAATTACAAGCAAAAAAAGAATTTGGGCAGCTTTAAAAAGGAAAGTGACAGTAGGTGTTAGGGAATGTGAAGTGTGCCAGAGATACTTGGGAAGGAAGGAAAGAAGGAGGCATGTTGCTCTGGTGATGCCAAAGTCAGTTGATAGTAGTGCTTTACTTGCCTTGTGCTGTTGTTACAAGGCATAAAGTAAGTATATATAGGTTACTGGCTCTAAGGTAGAATATGTATTAAGCAAGTCCTTAAAACTGTCTCACCAAAAGCATTTCTTTGCTTTTTCTTGTTAAGCAATGTATGCAGATTTTAAATAAGTAAGCTAAAAAAAAAATTCCAGCAAGAATTAGTTAAAAGTGATAGTAAGATAAACTGCAATAGTAATTACATCTGTTCAGATACTTCATATGAATGATGAAAACTTACAAAAAACCCTGAAAACGTCCATGAAGTTGAATAATGTTTCTGTGGTGAGGAGGAGGAACCATAGGGAATTAAAAATTACTTTGAATCTTGGGCTACAGATATAAAGATGCCATAATTGTAATAAGATTGCTGTTGCTTAGCTTCCCACTGGGATACAGATACAGTTATGTGTGTGTTCCCTAATTGCATTTCCATGGTTTACTTGTTTTAAAATGTAGTATTACTGAGTTTACTGGATCCATGGCTTTTATATTGTAGATTCAGACATGTGGCTCCAAGCAGTTTTCAGGAGCAAAGACTGAGCAAACCAGGAAAAGAATTGAAAAGGATAAATATTGATTTAAAAAGACTATGAATTGTATAATTTGTAGCTGTATAATTGTGTTACATGATTGTGTAACTATGTAATTAAAATAATATTATTAAACGTGGTTTTTTTAGTTCTTTCCTGCTACCTCTAATTTCTAATTTTCAGCTGGAGAATTTAGTAGCTAGTTTTATAGAGAATTTATCTTTTGGGAAGTGGTATCTTATTTCAAGTTGTTAGCTCTTTAAATCCACAAGGTAATTGAGATGATGGAAAAGGGAAGATGCATCTCTTATTGACTTCTTGGTGAGGTGGGGTTTTTTTTGTTTGGTTGTTTTTTTCCCCCCTATTTTTGAGACGATCAGGGGCTTCATTTGTTCTACCTTGTTCTTTCCTACCCAGGCATTTCCTTTGAAATAAAAAGCAGCAATACACTTGACGTGTTTGCGTTTTACATTTAATTTTAATAGTAATTTAATTTTGCAGGCACACAAAATTTGAATATTCAGGGAATTTCATGCAGATTTAAAACGTTATGAGGCTGAAGCAAAATATGTATATAAAATTTTGATCAAGTTTGGGAAGATCTCTGAAGATGAAATGACTTACTATAAGATGCTTCTCAGAAGCTTACTTGTTCTGGAACTGTTAGGATCTGGAGCCTTGAAGGGACAGGCAAAATCTGAGAAACTCTTAGCAGCAAACAAGTATTTCAGTACTATAAGGGACTCAAGATAAGCTATAATTCTTGGGATATTTGTGGTGTCTGCAGAAAGTAAGCGTTATCAATATGCTTTAGGTAGATACTAAGATAGATTACATTTTAAAATTACTTTTTCTCCCTAAAAAATGTGTTCTGGCTATTTAAAAATATTTTTAACGAGACTGTGTTTGTCAAATAATATTAGTTGACTCCTGAAGAAAGGTATCTAAATTTAGCTGGACCTGTGTGTTAAAAATAGTGGATGGTGAAGGAACTCTAATTCAGGGTCTTACCTAAAAATAGTGCAATTTTTGTAATTGAAGGTAGGTGGGGAGGGCTGTGTGCATTTCCCTACAGAAGGTGCATTGTGAGACCAGAGAAGGGACACATACAGATGGAACTACAGCTATAATAATGACTAAAAGGCTTAAATGAGTACTAAGGGATAAAATTTTCTAATCCCTAAGGGGATTTAGAAAAAGTTATGTTCTGCAATACATTTATTACTTTTCTAAAAAATTTTAATCTGGCTTTATAGATGAGTATTTGGGTTTATGGGCCCTGGCTGTGAGCTGTTATTTTTGCATTAGGTTTTATTTTGCAGGATAAAGTAAATAAATATTGTTGCTATTTATGTGCTCCTTGCTCTGAGAGATCCCTACATTTTTATGCTAGAAGTCTTGTGAATGTTTAGTATGTAGAGTTAAAACTAACAAACCATAATATAACTTAATCATAAAAGCTAAAATAAAACCCACCATATGTTCCACACAGCAATTTCATTTGAATATCTATCTGGTCGATTTATGGCCTTGCTTTAAAACATGTTTCAAGGCTGGTACTGCAAGGAAAAGGTGGACTAACTGCTTTTCTTAGTGTATTTGGGAGTAAGATGCTGCAAACAGTGGAAAGAAATGATTGGGTCCAGTCTCTTTCTTAGTATAGTGTATTGTTTATCTTGTGTTAAACATTCCTATAATATGTATCAAGGTTTCTCTTGAGAATATAGTAGCTTGATTTTTGTTGTTGTTGTTAGCTTTTATTTTACTACCTAAAGCTAACAAATTGCTATAGTAATCATAAATAATCTTTATTACTAGTTTGCTTCATCTTTCTTGAACACAGTTGTCCAAAATTCTATACCATATATCAGATGCATAAGCATTAGTGGAGAAAACTTACTGGTATTCTTCCTTAGGTCAGACAGATGACTGTTCAAGAAAATGAAACAACGCAGAGATGCCAAGAATAAATTTTAAATTAAAGTCAACCTAGACAGGAGTCAGGCTAATTGAAGAAAGTATTTTGGAGTATCTGTACAAATAAAGATAATCAACAAAATCAAGACATTTTTTCTAAGGAAAGGGAACATATTTTATGTAATATAATTATTATTTGGTATTCTGAATGTCTATAATCAGAGTTTTAAAATGTAAGTTTATTCTCCTCCATTTTCATTGAGTGGCCCCTGTCTGTCTCTTTCTTGTCTCAGAAGATACTTTTGCAAAATGTACTAAGGAGTCTGATAAGAACAAGTAGGTGGGTGGCTTTTGGGAGTTAATATGCTGGTGAACTCAGGCTCAGAATACTTGTCCAGTTCTAGTTGGCATAAAGGCAAGAGGTTTCCTTCTGCTACTTGACTCTTTGGGATTAAAGTTTCTTCTTCCCTGGATACTGTCTATATTCTAGTAGTATTAATATCAGTACAAAAAAGAGGTACCATGAAATGAGCTTGAGTGTGACATTAAGAGTATGCGTCAATTATTTGGAAGTAATGAACTTCTAATATCTGTGCTCTTACCCATTGGTAAATGTGAAGTAGCTTTCCTCTTGTTAATTTAGAGGAACATAATTAAACTTTCTTGAACACATACAATTGCGTAAATAGCTTGTGATAGACTAAATTAATTCCTTATCAGATGGGACTAAAAATAATATATCTTAAAAGATTAATCCAAAGACATTTTGGAGGAACTGCTAAACGTTAGTGGCCTTTCAAAACTGTAGATTCTTTCTTCAGCAAAAAGAATGGAACAAGTCCCATTAACTTAATAACTGATTTTTTTTTTTTAACTTAATACTCTTTTTTGTTGTTGTTGTTGCTTTTGTTTTGCAGGATACAAAATTATGGATAATAATGGAATATCTGGGTGGAGGCTCTGCCCTTGATCTAGTAAGTAAATTATGTATGATTTTTATTATTTTACCTCACAATTATTTTCCTATCTTGCAATTCTGGAAACTGTAATATGTCATTTGGCTATGACAATGTTTGCTTCTAGTAAAGGAGAAAAAGTATTTGTCAATGCCAGGAAAATGTTATTTTCCATGAGGCAAAGCTGACTATTTGTATAGATGGAAGGGAACTAAGCAACATAATATTGGTAGCAGGATATAAACATCTTGCAGTGCTAATCTTCAGTCAGCCAGAGAGCACTAGTAGCTGCAAATAGTTTTTTCTGTCTCTTAATTCTGCCACCACAACTCCTCCTAGTATATACATTTTAATGTATCTACCCCCCACCCCCAAACAAACAAACGAAAGTTTCCCTATTTGAAGTCTAAATAGACAGAAACACAGTTTAGGCTGGTATTAAAAAATATATTTCAAAGAAATAGGAGGAGCTGTGGGCTCCCGTGAGGATATGGAGGCCTTACAGAGAAGTCTGGATAGACTGGAGAGCTGGGCAATCACCAATCATATGAAATTTAACAAGAGCAGGTGCCGCATTCTGCATCTGGGATGGAGTACCCAGTTTTGAATCATAATTCAAAAGGTTTGGTGCAGATTATGATTTCCATGCCTGGCTGCTGTCCATTCATTTTGGCTATTAAAAAAACCCAACAAAATCACAAACCATCTTATATTTATTGTGGATTTAAAAAATACTATTATAGAAATAAAAATGCATGTTTTAAGTATGTGAAAATTGTCATACCAATTGAGATGGAATGTCTCTGTAGCAAAGTTTGCTGTTCTCAACTGGGGCAACTAGTAAATGCTTGAGGAAAGAGCAAAAGGAAGAAGGCCAGTGTAGAGGGATTCTGCTGGTGACATCTGGAAGACAGGAGGAGGTAGTAAATGCAGGCTTCCTGCAGTTGTGCTGCCATATTTTAATTGTAATTACCTTTTGGAACCCATTGATATCTTTAGTTTCCACATCCTGTTAGAAGTTCTGTGGTTCTGTAAAAATTGATCATGTTCCAGATAAAGATATGCTGAAAAAAAGTTTGTTTATTGTTACGATAGTTTTTTCCTGATGAAAGAGCCATTAGAAACAGGGTTTGCTTTTATAAATTAATTATACCTTCTTCGTGCTTCAGAAAAGTATGAAAGAGCAGAAAGAAAACAGATGTTATCACATTTTCTTGTCTCTTTTTTTTTTAATCACACACATTTCACTTTCGTGATGACCACATGTTTATTCCCCAAGTTTGTTGCCTAAAAATAGTACAAAGTCTTTGGTCACATCCTAAAATGTTATTGAAGAAATTGTGTCACAGAACTGAAATCATCATGTAAGTGCATATTAAGCATCTTGTTTGTCTTTCATTCGTTTTCAATTTATGTTCTGCTGCGTGTTTTCCTAGTTCTAACATGCATATTATGGTTCTCAGCTGGAATCTGGTAGGACAACTGGCACACTTTATCATGTTTCCATACTCGAGGAAAGTTTGAATGGGAACCTTGAATTCCATGTTCGAAGTGTATACATGTCATGTTAGCCTGGTGTTTTCTGTACTTGAATATGCACTGGCTTTTTTGAAAATCACGGCTCACAAAAGAAAGTACATTTAATGCAATTGCATATATTTTGTTGTTCAATTTTGAATATAACTTAGGTTGGTGGCTGAGGTACAAGTGCTAATATTCTCAGCCTTAAGTCTGTTTTCACTAACCTCCTCCTCACTAAGGTGAGCTAACATCTGACAAAAGAAATTTTCCCCCATTAGATGTGCTGTATCATGTTACCAAGTCTTGAACTGGTGCTCGCAGCCTAGCTGGGGCAACGTCTTAGTGGGTTTGAGGGGATGGCAATATCATGTATATTATTAAAACTAAAGAAAAGCAAAAAATATTGTAAGTAAAGCTACAAAGGTAAAACAAATATGTTATCTGCATTACATGAAATCTCACCTCTGTTCCTACCTATTAGCTGAGGATTTCTGAGGGATGTAATATTATAATTTTTATCTGAAAAGTTTTATCCACAATGCTTTCTTTCTTACAGAGTGAAGCTTCAGAGAGATAACTTTTTGACTGTGTTTCAGTGACTGCTATTGTGGAGTAAACTAGAATACTGGAATATTTCCAGTCTTAATTGTTGTCCACAAAGTTACCGTCTCTCTCTCAAAATGGCCTTATTGGTTAAGGAGCCTCTCTGAGTAGTGACGTTTCCTCTGTCCCTTTAGAGTTAGTGCCATACTCACTTTTAGAATTTGTATCAGTTATAGAGAGCTCTGAGATCTTCTACTACTGCTGTTTCTCTGATAAGAATTAAATTACTTGGAACCTTTGATTCTAACAATTTGCAGATTTATACCTTCAGCTTTATATGAAAAAAGCTAACTTTTTTAATATGCAATGCTCTGTCAGCCTAGCAGTTTGAGTTGTGTTTTACAGAGCTTCACAAAATCCCTTGCAGTATATAGCAATAGGATATGTGATACCATATATGCCTTAATTTCTTTCTCAGACTTCGAGATTTGGGTGCGTATAGGGCCTGTGGAGTTGCACATGTAAGTTCAGTGTGATGTTAGTAATCAGATAACCATGTAGATGCTTTTCAGATGCAGTGTATATATGTATGACCTGACCACAAAGCAATTACTTGAAACTGTGTCTTTATGGAGCTTTTAACAAACTTTTAAAAGTGTTATAGATAAATGAAGTATTTCTTTGCCTGTTGTTCATAATGCCACTTAGTTTAGAACTATGTATTTTTTTAAAGAATGTTCTGGGTTGTATCTCGTGTTACGAAGTTAGCAAATTAGAAGTTTTGAGGTGTGACAGAAGGAATTTTATATTCTTTTTATAGTCATAATGTTATTTCTGTTCTCTCTGTTTCTGCTTTATATGTGTGTGTGTATGTATACACGCGTGTGTGTATATATATAAATATTTCTTGCGTTTCCTAGTTAGAACCTGGCTCACTCGACGAAACCCAGATTGCTACAATATTGAGGGAGATACTCAAAGGACTCGATTACTTGCATTCAGAAAAGAAAATCCACAGAGATATTAAAGGTAAATTGCTTTTTATTTGTACTGTAATAATATTAGAAGAGCTCATGCAATGTAAATGAACACCCTTCCATTGTCAAATTTAATTTCTGCTATTTCCTCTTCTTTATTCCAGCTGCTAATGTATTGCTGTCTGAACAAGGAGAAGTAAAACTAGCAGATTTTGGAGTAGCAGGACAACTAACAGATACACAGATAAAGAGGAATACCTTTGTGGGAACACCATTTTGGATGGCACCTGAAGTAATAAAGCAATCAGCATATGATTCGAAGGTAATGTATTTCAAGGCATTAGCCAAAGTCCCTTCCTCTTTTAACTTGAATTACATAAGTTGGTCTTCAGAATGTAGCTAATAACTTTGGCTGTGTCTAGACAGGTGTACGTTTAGATGATACATAGCAGCTAAAAGCTGTTGGAAAGGAAAGACGCTTTTCTTAATTATATCCAGACCATAAGTTTCCTAGTGTTTTAAGCCCATCCAGATAGCAAGAAATATGACAATATTGACCGTGCAATTGATGAGTATTCTTGATGGTTGTTTAAAAGTAGAAGAGAGCAAATATATACAAAATGTTAATATGCTTCCACTTTTTTTTAGAAAAAAAAAAAATAGCAACACTGTTGAAGAATATGGATTTGGTAGGTGTGAAAGTGTGTGAAAGTGCTGTTATTCATCTGTGGAAGAATATGCTGCATTGGTCAATGCTACTCTCTGACCACACTCTTTACGTATTCTGTACAGGGAGGGTTTAATGTCAAATGTACTTATTTGTAGATATTTACATTGCACAGGATTTTGATTTAGCAGAGTGGTACAGCCACGTACTGAAATCACAACACAAGCACAATATATCAATTGTAATATACAGTTGGATCACAACAGAAACACAATTCCCGTTATTGGTCTCCATATATATGCTCACCACCACGGCACTGGGTGGTGTCCCCAGTTGCGAGGAAGGAATATATGCATTGAAGCTAGCTCAAGCCTATTGCTCTTTTCAAAATTCATCTTGTTGGTCACTTGGTTTTTATACTTCTATTAGGCTGAGCTACATATACACCTCCTTGCTCTGCCCCTCCCTTCCCCTCCCCATTGCACAACCCAGTGACCCACTGGTGCAGCTGTATATCTGAAACAAAGGTCACCCTCAAGGCCCACTTGTGTTGAGATGAGATCAGCTTTCTTTATGATAATTAGCGGTCATTCCTTATGTTCTTCCCTGAGCTCATCTTTCTTGTCCATCTCCTCTGATGCCCTTGTAGTGATTTGTTGATTGGTCACATCTCCATGCAATGAGACAGGTTGGTGTGTTTCTTTCCACTCCGACGCATGTAAGGAACTTGCCAATACTGACTCCGGCCTAGACTGTAGTATTACTTCCTTCCCTATATTATATCTTTCTGTAGAGCCTCTAGAACATTAAATGACCCCAAATTCCCCATTTGAAGTTTGAGTAAACCATATTTGTTTTTGTGGGTGGTGGTTATTTTTTTTGTTTGGGTTTTTGTTTTGGGGGTTTTTTTTTGGTTTGGTTTGGTTGTTTTTGGTTTTTTTTTTTTGGTTTGGGTTTTTTTTTTTGTTTGTTTTGTTTTGGTTTTTTTTTGAGATTTGGCTTCTGGGAATGATCTTCACTTGGACAAAGCATGATTCAGTCCGCAGGTTTTGAATTCTGTCTGTTTCAGTCCACAATGTTATGTGGACATAAAAAGGTATTAGATACTTGATGACTTCCCTAGAAGGCCAGAGCTCAAGTTTTTGGATGAACTAGAGATACTTACTTGTGTCTGTGAGCCTTCTGGCACTTAGAGACCGGACTAAATTTTACAGACAATAGTTTTACTGTCATTGCACAACAACCACTTGAGAAGGCCTGTTTATTTTAAGATAGTATTAAGCAAATGTGAGAACACAGATGTCCAAAGCTAACCTCATTTTCCTTTCATAAGCTGGCCATGCTTGAGAGGTGTTAGGCAGGACTGTCCTCTTCATAGCATAGTCCCAGTGAAGTGCAAGCAATTTCCATTATGTAGTTGCTGTGTTACCTAGTTTTGTTCTTTGCCCCGTTGAATCCTCTTACTTCCCACATGCTGATGGGTTCCCTATAAAAGCTTGAAAGTGCTCTGTAACACTACCTTGGGCATAGTTCACCTACTTCTTTCATGCAGTTCATCTGCGTCTTTCCTCATTTACTGTATGCCTCACACCAACTGTTAAATTATTGCTTCTTTTCTGATTGGATTGATACCTTTGCTCATGCTGGCTGCTGAAATAGCACAGCTGTGCAAGGCAAAGCAAAATCTAAGTTATGACATAAAACTACTAACCAGGCTAAAGGAAGGCAGATGCATCTTGAGGTCCAGCATTGCTAGTTACTGCTATGAAGCTTAAGGTCTCCTGTTGATTCAGCACTATTATCACTTGCCTTAAAATTATGGGCAGTTGGTGGATTTACTGACCATGGCTTACACTAAATTATCAACAAAACTCAAGCAAGAACTATTATTCTAGTATACTGATTTCTACTTGAAGCAGTTTTGGATATTAAGATATAGTTACATCTCCTCTGAATTCAGATATGCTTCTGAGTTAACCATTCTGTCAAACACAGATTTCAGAATTGAAGAGACAAACTTCTGAGGAATTTCTTATGTGAAGCACTTACACTGTTTTAACCAAAACCTTTTTATCTTTACTGTTTTTGCATTAGTTTATAATGCTTTAACATTCACTTTAAAGTCTCTTGTGTAAAAATAATGAATACTTAACATAAGCTGTTGATTTTGAATATAGTCTTTATTTTTTTCCCAAACGTATGTTACGGGAATGTATGTACATAATATCTTTCATCTTTTTTGCTATGATAGAGAAGCAGATTTTTTTTAATGGATAAAAAATGTGTGCATTTTTTAAAAACGCTGTTTTAATTCAGGATTTGACAAATGGATACATTTTGTTTATTTTTCTTTTAATATATGTGAAACTTAACAATGTCAAACCAAGTCCCAATCTATGCTCCCAATAGTGTGCTCTCAAGATTATGTGAGGCTTCTTGGACTGCTTTATGCATATGAGACCTGTGTATTCCTCAACTTCTATACAGAATTTGCCCATTCCATTCTTGCTTTATTCAGTCCCGTTCCCAAACTGTTTTGTCCTTAAGTATTCCTATTGTTCTTTCTCAGACCATATATTGTAAGGTATACTTGCAAGGCGTTCCAACACTTGTCTTTATTGCCTAAAAAGTAATCAAGGTTTGTGATTTTTGACATAGAAGCTGTTGAAATTTTAGTATCTATCAGACTTTTGTAAGTAATAATTCAGACTGATATATTTGAGAACATGGGATTTCCAGATGGCCTGTGTGAGAGAGTAAGTTAGCTATAACATTTGCGTTTTAACCTGGTCAGTAGCTAATCCAAGAGGTTTACTTGATAGAAAAAGGTAAATAAAAAAGGAAAAGAAATTTAAAAAAAAGCAGGTGGCAGCTTTAATATGACTGTTATAGTCATGTTTTGACATTTCACTATTTTTCCTCATGGCTGATAGTTTCTTCAGCAGCTAGATTTTATCAGCCCCATGGATTACTTGGACTTTAAAAATAAACTACAAGGGAAAATGAAAAATAAAGTTGAAATTTTTGCTATGCCATTTATTTCCTTCTCTCCAAGCTATTTGTTCTTTGATACAATGTCCTCACAGGAACTTTCCCTTCTTTCTACTTCCTGTTTTTTTGGCAGTAGTTCTTTTTCCTCCTGTTTTGATTCCTTTCTTCATCTGAAAGTCAGCATCTCTTCTTATCTGCTTTAGTTTTCCCATATCTAGTTCTCTGTCCTTTCTACTATATAACTTCTAATAGAAAGGATGTTTTAATTTTAAAATGTTTTTCTCTTGCACATAGCCTGTTTTCTTTGACTTACAAGAGCTTCAAAGTCAGACAATTTTACTCATTAGAATGGAAGAGGAAAGGCTTATGGCAGTACTGCAAAAAATAGTAACTAGTGATTTGCTGACTCTCATCTGAAGTTGGAAAAATTATTTTTGTTCAAGGTTTGAAACTGTAAAAATCATAATGTGGTAAAACTTAGTCATGAGATAATGTCAACACTTCTAAGGTCATGCTTCTTCCCCATTTGGAGGACTGATTTGTGCCTGTTCTGGAGTTTCATTGTCACAGACAAGCGTGTCCTATAAATGCCTAGTTGGATACGCACACAATTGGTACTGATCTTCCTGTTTTGAGACCCTTTCTTGTCTGTGAAAGGAGAGGTTACAGTTCTGGAGGAATTCGGGGTTTTTATTCTTGCTGCTTCCAACAGGAATGGGCTTCCAAAACCTGTCTTGGACTTCAAAGAATTCAGTGTGCAGCCATGGTTTGTTGGACTTTTTTGTTCATTGAAGGTCACTAGCAGTAGAAAGTTATAAAAATATGAGGAAAAAAGGAAGTATATATATGTGCGTGTGCATGTATACATAAAAATTTGATTTTTTTTTATACTTATGTATACACATGCTCCATCTGTGACTGAAAGTCTGGCAGAAGAAAATCTATCCATTTATATGGCTTTAAAACATTCCCCTTGAGAAACTGAAATTCAGAGTAAATTGGAAATAATAATGCTCAGCTGTTAACATGAAGACTCATCTTTGCAGGTGACATTTTTCTTTATAACCCAGAAAAGCTTTCCTGCTAGAAAAAAGTTACCCACAATTATACTCAGACTTGAGGAGAGCTTAGCTGATAATGCTGTTATTAAGATAAATGAAACTCAAGAGCTTATATACTTATGGTAATTCTCTGTGCTCACTGTGAGGTGGCAGTTCTGTAACATGGGTTAACAAAAAGTCATTTCATAAATTCAATGGTATGCTAATTGACTCAGTTTTTTTTTTTTCCATACTTACTTGCAAAATTAAGTAACTAAGCTCTTAACAATAGAATACTGTCTGAACAAGGAAGAAGGAGCTGCTTTTTAGTCAGGCAACGTAGCTATGATAGTGGAATGGATGCATACATTGCCGTGATCAGCCTGTAGTCCTGTATGAGTTAGTCAAAGATAACCTAGCATATCAACTGAGCAGGGACAGATGGATTAGAGGGACGCTAAGTAAGGACAGCAGTGATAAATGAAATCTCTACTCTATCCAGTACCTGGAAATAGATCTGTTTACAGCACAGTGAAGATCCAAATGCTCTATTTGGGATTAAAACCAGACAGCTCACTTCAGAACTTTCCTATTTTCCCGAGAATAAGTCTTTGTTCTTCTTTCACTTCAGAAGAAACAGAAAAAAACCAAAACATAAATATTTTTAATTCATATCTTGTCCTTTGGAACAGATGTTTCTGTGAAAATGTTTTTCTTTTGCCTTTCTGAGGGGTTTATTCATCTATTCTTTTGACTTTTAGGTCTGCTATTTCAGCAGAACGTAGAGAATTACAATGCATTACTTTAGGCAGATTTGGCATTAGGATTTGGATCTAGGAAGATAGTGTTCTCTAGAAAGAGTAGCCATTTTGATGATGAAAACCTATGAAACAAATGTATTTAAGTAATCTTCCCTAAAAACCCAATATACATATCGTGGCACCCCATAACAATGTGAATCCAACTCATCAGTGAAATTAAATGGTAGCAGATCTAGCACTCGTCTCTGCTGCATTACTTGATTTGTCCCTCTAACGTGGGAGTGAGCCTTTGGATCTGCATTTTGCACGTGCATGACTTAGAGAAGTTTGATTTACATCAGGCCTTCTTGGCCTACAAGACGTGGCTCACAGGGGAAGGTCTACAAAGCAGATCAGGTAGAAAAGTGCTGTCAATATTTCAGAAGCTACTTGGACCAAATACTTAACTGGTTGAAATCTTGGGTTGAAAAAGTTGAATAATACTGTTCTAGACTGCATTTCTCTAGTCTGTGAATAAGAATGATATATATAAGACAGTGTTAAACCCCAGGAAAATTACATTCTAATGTATTAGATTTCTGATGGTGCTACCTGATGCTTGTTGAACCTTGTGCATAACTTTTTCCTTTATGCCAATATTTGAGTTTTCCCCCACATTTACAAAGTGTACTCAAATATGGTGGATAAAATGCTATTTTATAACAATCTACCATTGCTTTTTAAAAATATTTGTGTTTCAAGATCAGTTATAACTGTCGGTGTAATAGTATTGATTTAAAAAATTTTAAAACTCTAGTAAGTAGAACCGCTTTAGGCTATAGAGTAAAAATGACCAAGGAACTCTGTGTACTTTATTTTATGTGCTTAACCACATAAACCAGACCATGATAGCAAAAACAATTTATATGTGAAATAATTTACAGTAAAGGTTTAAAATTTACCTTTGCAAGTGTGTTGGTTTTGGCTGGGATAGAGTTAATTTTCTTCGCTGTAGCTGGTATGGGGCTGTGTTTTGGATATGTGCTGAAAACAGTGTTGATAACACAGGGATGTTTTAGTTATTGCTGAGCAGGGCTTACACAGTCAGGGCCTTTTCTGCTTCTCACCCCACCCCACCAGTGAGAAGACTGGGGGGGGCACAAGGAGTTGGGAGGGGACACAGCCGGGACAGCTGACCCCAACTGACCAAAGGGATATCCCAGACCATACGACGTCATGTTCAGCAATAAAACTAGGGGGAAGGTGGGCCGCGGGCTGCTGCTTGGGGACTGGCTGGGCATCAGTCGGTTGGTGGTGAGCAATTGTTTTCATTTGCATCACTTGTCTTTCTTGGATTTTATTTCTCTCTCTTTGTTATTTTCATTACAATTTATTATAATTATTTTATTTCAATTATTAAATGGTCTTTATGTGAAGCCACAAATTTTCTCACTTTTACCCTTCCGATTCTCCCCACCCCCCCCCCCCCGAAGGATGGGGGGGGGGAGTGAGCAGGCGGCTGTGTGGTGCTTAGTTGCCAGCTGGCGTTAAACCACGACAGCAAGCAATACTGTTTCTCTTCTTTCTCCAACCTAATCTTAAAAGCATTGTTTCTTACAGGCAGATATCTGGTCATTAGGCATAACAGCCATAGAACTTGCAAAAGGAGAGCCACCTCATTCCGAATTACATCCAATGAAGGTTTTGTTCCTCATTCCGAAGAACAATCCACCAACACTGGAAGGAAACTTCAGTAAATCCCTCAAAGAATTTGTTGAGGCCTGCTTAAACAAGGACCCAAGCTTTGTAAGTGTCATCTATTTGTCAACGTATAGTAGAGAACTTGACTGGTTTACATGAATTACATGAATAAGTGCAGTTCAGCTTTTCTAATATGGGGCAACATACTTGTGGGCTTTTTTTTTTTTTCTGATACTGTATGTATTTAACATCTCATTTCTATCAAGACTGAAGTCTGGATTTCTTAATCTCTTTATAATGAGTCATTTAACACTCTCAAATGCAGTAAAAAAAAAATCTTTTTTTTTTTAAGAGACCTACTGCAAAAGAGCTATTAAAACACAAATTTATTTTGCGAAACTCAAAGAAAACTTCCTACCTGACTGACCTTATTGATAGGCACAAGAGATGGAAGTCTGAACAAAGTCATGATGACTCCAGTTCTGATGACTCAGATACGTAAGTTCGATGAGTTTGTAAAATACCCTTTGTAAATATAGGAGCCAAGTAGTTATTTTTAGCACATATATTCCTGTGTTCTGTTATTTACAGCTTTTCAGCTTAGCAGCCTTGGTTAACTAATGAGATCTTGATTTCAGTATTGCAAGGGATTTTGTGCAAATAACAGTCACTGAGAACAGTTTTTTCTGGCCCATTCTATACTACTTTCTCTTTTACATAGGGTCTAGGGTCTTTCCTAGGTATAAGGCCAACTGTTACTCCTGTTGTGTGAGCAGAAGGTAGTCCTCACCCTGCATGGCCAAGTAGCAGTGTGCATGTGCACTGTGCTGGGCATTCACATGGCCACCTAAGGAGGGGAGCTGTCTCCTTGGTGGCAGGCTGTGCCTCGTTTTGGCTGAGTAAACAGGCAGAAGCATATCCTTGCATATAAGATAGGGTTAGTGGACAGTGCTTCCATGATAATGGGATTTTGGGGTACAAACCATATTACCTAGGTTTTTTTTTTATAAGAGGGTTTTTTGTTTGTTTGGTTTTTTTCTATCCTTCCGGGAAGGTTGGGCCATTACAGCATGATAGTCATGAAATGTCAAATTATTTATTAAAAAAGGAGAAGTGGTGTAAATATTTCCAGATTTCTTTCCTTTCCAATTTTTACTTCTCTCCTTCAAATTTTGATGGAGCTGTTTGGTAGGTCCATGAGTTTGTTTCCTCAGGAAACCCAGTTATAGATAGTTATGACTCAGTTAAAAAGTTAACTTTGTTAGTCTAAATGTAATTTTGAAAATAGTGGGTATCATCAGATTACACACTTCTGAAAATCAAGTGAAGGGATTGCCACAATTTATTCACAAATGGATTAAATTCCTTATAAGAAAGAAAACGCGACTATTCTCTGCAATTCCAGTCTGTGTGCTAATGGCAAGCATCAGGCTTGTTATGATTTCTTGGCTGCCATTACAGCTGTATACTTGTCCTACATTATTAATGGCTTCATGCCTTCCAGTGATCACAGTTCCAGCCCAAAACCAGGTCTGCTTTGGAAGGTAAGTTACTAGTCCTACAACTGGTCTCAGATCAATTACTAACTGAACTTTGAGGTTACAGTTCATTGTTCCTGTGGAATATCAGACCAGCTTTGATAGTTTGCCATGGGAGAGTAGTGGAACTAGAATAGCTATTTTGAGACAATTTAGTGTTCTGTCTAAGCCTGCTTTCCCCTCCTTTGCTTCCACAGCAGCTCTTGTATTAGATGTGGTAAAAGGGTGAGTTGGTTTGGCATGCTGGAATTCTAACTTTCCAAATCGATAAATATTTTTCTGTTGGATGAACTTACTAGAGCTAATGTATACAAGGAAGGTAGACCTACCTCTTTCAGTGACAGCCAGAAGTTCTATGTGACTTCAAGCAGAAATCTTGGAGAATTTTCTTACACTGATCACATGCTTTTTGACTTGGTAGGCTGCGCTAAAATACTTTTTGTACAATGGCCACTAGATGCCCTTTTAATCGGTGCTTTTCCTGCAAATGACTCTCAATTCACAGATCGGAAAGAAATGAACTTACAGGAGTATACATATGGTAGTGAGAGGAGAAATGTAATGCAGTGACTGATTAGTGTCAGCATAAATATTTTTGGTCTTTTAACTTAGCAGGAGTTACAGAAAAAAATCACTATGCCATCCACAAAAATGAGGCGAAAGATTGACTTAGGTGATGTAGTTTGTAAAAACCATGCTGTACCTGTACTTTTTTAGTCAAATTTTTTTTGAAGTGGGAAATTTACCTTGCCATTGGGCTGGGGATGACCTGTCTTCCTCAAAAGTATTCTAAGCTAGTGTCTTAGCTGTTTTTCTAGGCAAAAAAAGTGAATTAAGTCTTCTAATTCCCCCATCCCCCCTTCCCTAATGATTTGAGGTACTCTGTTAAAGACAGTTTTCAGATAGCAATAGGACACGTCATGTTACTTTTTTATGTAACTTGGGAGAATGTTTTCAATCTGTAATGCCTCTCTTTATTTTTGAAGTTAATTTAACATTTAGTGAAGTATCTTGGTTTCATTTTTTTAATTTCCCCAAAAGATTAATTGCCTCACTTTTCATACTTGTCTTTATACTTAGTGACGTGCACAACAGAATCCCGATTTTGGTCTTGACTGCAGTTTTTATGTTTAGCATGTATATTGAATGAACATGGACAATAAGGAGTAGGTAATAGAACTTCTTAATTTTTTTTCCCCTCCCTTGAAGTGAACCAGATGGTCAGGCTTCAGGTGGGAGTGATTCAGGAGAGTGGATCTTTACAATAAGAGAAAAAGACCCCAAGAATCTAGAGAATGGAGCAGCCCAGCCTTTGGAGTTGCAAAGAAATAAGGTGCTCAAAATATTGACTGTAGTCTAAACACTACTGAGCAACAACTGAAAACATCAGTGTTATCAACATTCTTCACATACTGAACTCAAAACATAGCACTGTACCAGCTACTAGGAAGACAGCTAACTACATCCCAGCTGAAACCAGGACAATAGTCTGTATGGCCTTTTGGTGGTACCTACAAACCCAGCATTTTGTATTACTTCAAAAGGCCAAATTTCATAAGAGATTTTCTAACTGCCTAGGCTAGGAATATATTCTTAACAAACACTCAATTTCCTGTTCTTTTAAATGCTATGCAAGAAGAGATCAGGGGTATAAATTTCAGAATCTCTGCTTGAAGAGGCTTTAAATGCAACCTTGAATCCAGGAGTCCACAGCTGTTGTGAATCTATACCACCCAGGTTGGATTGCTTGGTACTAGAAAAAACTCATGGCAATGATTAATCATAGATTGCTACTTTGAAAAAGATCACCCTGAGCAGGTGTCTCCCTTATACTGTCTCTAACCACAGCTTGGTAAAATTTTAGATAGGACACCTCAAATTAAAGCAGAGGATTACCAGGCCGACACTGTGTCATTCAGTAAAAATCAGTGCCAAGAAGTCTGCAAGCAATTGTGTTTCTTGCTTTCTGGGCTGTTAAGCATGAAGCCCAGTCAGCATCTTTAGTGCTAAAAGGTCACTTCTGGATGCCAGATGTCCTGATTCTCCTCTCAGTTGATCCTGGCCAGCTTGAAAGAGTTTCTGGAGCTTCAATCTTAGTTTGTTTCCATTAGGGATTCCAAAACTGACGCCAGTCTTTCATCAGCCCAATGTTTCGGTGTCAAGTTTCTGTTAGCCTGGTACAGGGCCTTCCTGGAACTGGGAACCTTAAAGACTTGATGCTGCAATTGAAGCTGAAAGTGACCATGTGGAGACAGGCTTTCCACTGGGCACTTCTTTTGTGAATGCTAGAGATGATCCTATTGCTGTCACGACAGCAACAGTCATATTTTTTGTCCTAGGAGATAGGTTTCAGAGCCCTTTATACACCTAGTTAGCATTTTGTTTTCCTTCTGTTCTGCTTCCTTGGGCTGTTGCTGTTGTTCTTGGTCATAATGACTTCTAACAGTGGAGGTAGACACTTCATTTTCTTTGAGGGAGAGAAAGAAATATTCATAGAGAATATTTGTTGATGGGTCACATCTGGGTGAATTTTCTCTTATTCCAAGGATGATACTCAGCTAGTGTGTTATCATGACTAGCACTCCTTCCAGAAAATGAGTGGGGAAAAAAATGAATGGTAGGATCTCCCCCTAAAGAGGAGTTTGAACTATTCCGTAGCTTAGTAGGTATCCCTTATGAATAAAGCTATTTTTGGAGCTAGTCAGCTTCTGAAAAGATAGTTCCTTCTTGTTTGAATACTACAAGAAATACGTTCTGTTACATCATTAAGTCATTCATTGTATTCACTTAAAATACCCTCTCAATTTGATAGCTAACTATTGAAGATGGCTCTTCAACAATATGTTTCTAATGAGATTTTAATTCCTCTTATGATTGGTTAAAACTGGATTTCCCAAGTTTGTCTGAATGGATGAGTTGGGACCCTCAGGAGAGCTGCCCAATAACTTGAGTGAATCCATTTACCTTCCCCCTCCAATTCTGATCTCTGATGTTTTATAATTTATTGAAAGCTTAACATGATTAAAATGGGTGCTTCTCTCTTTGGATGATTTAAGAATCGGCTTAGACCAAGAAATACATGTTTCCTGTCCCAGTAATATTTTGGAAAGATGGACGTAAACTTGCCAAGTAGGAAAGTTGGAATTGTTAAATGTTGTCCCCAGTATACAGAATTCTTACATCATCATATGCTTCTCAGTAACACACTTGAACACAGGTTGTTGCTATTTGCTCAAAAAGCAGGGCTATGCTAATAGGGTGTATTTGCATGTTGTTCAGCTCCATGGCTTTTTTCTTTAAAGTGTGACAGCAGTGGTGGATATTCTGCAAGGAAAAAGGCTGAAACTCCAACAGCATAAAACGGAATAACTTCTGGTTGCTGCTTGTTGTAGAATGCCTTGTCACAACGATAACTATTTCTTTTCCTCTTCAGATATTCACTAGCTGGAGGAGGTACTTCATCCTACTGATGTGCTGTTCCTGACTTTTCTAAGACAACAGAGATCCCTTGGTGTCTGCACTGAAGGCGCACACCCTAATGTTTTTCTGCCCCTCAGTCACTGGAATGTCCTTTGGTGGAAGGACGTTCTTAAATGTGCAAGAGTGAAAATGAAGTCTCTCAGACAGAGGCAGTCTTTTTCAGCTCCTTAAAGCTATAATTTTTTTAATGATAATGCACATATTCCAGGGAGGTGTCTTTTTGTAAACTGAAATGTATATTTAGGTTTGTGATAGAGAAATTGAAGATATTGAGAAACCTCAGGTATCTTGCTTTAAGAATTCCACTGGGAGATGGAGTATGTTTGTTGGAATTGTGTACAGATATGTATATAATGTCTTTTTTAACTGAACGCCTTTCAACGTGCTTAAGGAATCACTGTGTACAAAATGGTAAAGTGCTTTTGTAGATAATGTTAGTGGGGTAAATATTTGACAGGCCATAACTGAGTATTGCCTTGCCTTTATTACATGTACATTTTGAATTATGTGATAAGTGAATCTTGGTTTGGTTTTTGTATGTGAAGGATTTGCCATTGAAAGAGTTAATCCTGTACTACGGAACCTTCTATTCGTACCTCAGCAAAGACACAATTTTATTCTGTTTCTCCAATATTTCTTCCTTTTTATCTATATTCTGAGCGTGACTTTCTAATTATGGTACTACTTCTGGTTGTTTTAAATTTAATACACCTTGTGTCTCAAAGCTTTAAATTACTGTTTTTCCTAAAGAATGAGCTCTTTCATATTTTCAGTTTTAAATTGTGCCAATGCAAATTCTGAACCCTATGTATCGTTCAATTTTAGCAATAGATATTTGTGAAGCTTATAGTGAAATTCAGATGCAATCCTTTTTCACCTGAACATGTTTGAATGCTCACACAAATAAATCTTTATTACCTTCATTTATTCTGAAATATCTCATTAAGATGTTGGCTCTGAGACAGTGGCAAGTATTTCTTCATCATGCCTATTTTATCATTAAAATGAATGTCTTGCAGCATATAAGAAAAATGGTCCATAGATTCTATATTTGGTCTTGTTGCCTAATCTGTGCATCTCTTTACCAAAAGTGATAGACATTAAGACAGAAAGACTGCAAAACTGAGCCTGAGTGTTGTATGCTGTGTCCTATTACTTGTCTCCCCAGAAGAAAGTTACTTCTTGAAAATTCTGAATTCTGAAATTTCCACTATTCCTGTGAGTGCTGACTTACGGTTTTATAGTTCTTGGAAATAGTAACATTAGTTACATGGACAGTTGATTAGATGGCTTTTTTTTTTTTTTTTTTTTCCTCAACAGTATTACTCTGAGGTTTACCTTGGTTTGGTTCAGGTGCTTCTTGTTCTGGTAGCTAAGAGAGCATTTTTGCCTTGTTTTTAATGAAGGAATTAATGATTTTATGTTTTGTGTGATAGTGAGGTAACTTATCTGTTTAATTTAAAAAAAAAAAGTTTTGGAACGAGAGGATTAAAATTTTAAAAGTATAGGCATATCTACTTGGCTTGGTACAAAAAGACGCAGGTTCTCTAACCATTCTGGAAGCTGGTAAGGTTTCCTTGCAGGACTTCATATCACCATGGTAGCCCTTATTCTATGCATATTAATAGCCTTAATTATTAATTTAATAATTTAACAGTAAGAGGACACTGTCATGCTAACAGAGCTATGGAACTTCTGACCAGGTTGAAACAACGGCTGAAAGAAATGGGTATATGTGCACTCATTCTTGTTGTATCTAAGAATATGGCTACATGTTTGCCAGCATAATGAGGTAATGGTTTTCCTTTGTGGCTAAGTGAATTTAAAGTAAATTAAACAGTGCATAAGTTTGACCAATGATTTATAACTCCTCTTTGATTAATATCTTTAAATATGCTGTTTTGTGTGCTCTTAAACATTCAGGATAGGCTTACCCTTGAGGAGACAAATTTAGCTTTGGGGTTGTGAAATGTGCATCTGAATACAATGCAGTGGGAAGTTTACCTGTTGACATCTCAACATCAGAACATTCAGCCATTCAATAAATATGTACTGTTACAGCATATGGAAATAAACAGATGTGTTTGCATTTGAAATATACATAGATTAATGGAAGCTTTTCCCCAGTCATCTGTTAATGTAGAGACTTGAAATTAAAGCAAGCTTGCTGGGAGATGCACAGAACTCAGATTTAGTGGGGAAGTTAAACTTATGGTGCTGGCTGGAATATCGAGAATTTCTCAATCAGAAAATTAAATGAATTCTAAGGTATGCCATTTTTAAACAATCATTTCAAAAGTTACACATACAATTTTTTGAATTGCATTTTAGTTGCATTCCAGGACTGTATGTTGAGGAAATACTTCTCCAACTAGATTGCGGCAGAATTTGCTTGGTGAATGTGTCCCTTGGCTTAGGAGCTTAAGATGAGTCAGACCTAGAGCAAGGGCAATTGGCCAAAAGGCTAGGAGGTTTAGAAAAAGACAAGACCTCATTTATGGTAGAGATGTGTATTTTTATATGTACTATATAGATTATTTAAATATAGGCTATCTTAAACTGAGATTCACTGAAAAAAAGCGTGCTGTATCTTGAATGTAGAATTACAATCATTTGCTATTGAAAAGTATTGATACTTTAAAAATCAGATCTATATTGGTAACAGAAGAGGAGCTTCATTTGAAAGAAGCATGGCCTCAGTTTCTGAAAGAAAAAGAAGTGTATTGATATTTTCGAGAGGTGGTTTCATGCTAAAAACATGTCTGTGTTTTGTTATAATGTGGCACTGATGATTCTTCTGTGCAGGTAGTACTTCTTCAGTCAGTCTTGAATATACTAAGTAAGTGACAAGCTATCCCTATTTATGCAAACATTTAAATTAGTGGAACTGCTTATTTGCCAGGGATTTCAAGATTAGGCAGTAAATAAACTCACTGTTTAAAAAAAAAAATCAGTCATTTGAACTGAAGGCTTGCTTTTTTGTAAGTATCAGATGTGTAATCTATTTTTTTAACTTAATTTTCCTTGCAGTTGCACTTTGTAGTTTATCACCAGTTTACTAAAGGATGTCGGCATGATCGCTATCGTACAGAATGCTTTTGGTGTAATAACAAAGCAGCTCTTTCGCTGAAGTGCCATGGTTCCTTTGCAGCTCCAAACATTTTGTGTATGTCCATGTGGGTATGGACCAAGGAACCAATTACTGCGGAGTGATTTAACTGTGGCGTTCTGCCCTCGCAGTGCAGGAGGGTGGGCGGAGGGGGAAGGTAAGAGCGTGCGCATTGGCACTGAACTGCAAAGTAGCTGGCATGCTGTGAGTTCATGTCCTGCTTTATCCACCGTAACTCCTTCATCTGCCTGTCCTTTTACTGTACTCGTGAAGTGTCTTGCTTAGTGCTTACTACTTTATGTGGTGTTCCGTATTATTTTTTAAACAACGCGGTACCAGTTTGTAGTACTTTTATTTACATTAGCCTTACTTTTAAGGCAATGTATTTTTGCCTTCAAAAATGTCACCATTGGAAGATTATCAGAAGTGCTTATAAGCACAGGTGTAACGCAAGGATCAGTACAAGCGCAAATTATTTTTATTTTAAGTTGCTGGGGAGGAGCTTAAAGCATAGCACAAATCTGCAAGCTTGCTCTTTTTAACTGGATTTTGCAGATGTGCTAGTAGTTGCACTGAGCATATGCAGTAGACAAGTTGTATGTAATGGTTTTCTGCCTTTTTTTAAAGCATGATTACAGAGGACAATTAAAAGTGTATATCTTGTTTTCTGTAATATTGCTGCCTGTTTATAACTGTGTGTTTAAATTTTACTTTTGTCACTCTACACCAACATAATAAACGCCTTGTAAACTACATGACCTAGAAATAAAGAAGGAAAAGTTTAACGTAATTTTGCCATCTGAGTGGTCAGTAAAAAAGATGAGATTTGGGGGTCTTCTCCTCCCAGGAGGGGATGCTCTTGCGGGTCCCTAGCTCAGTTACTGCCCATGTGTCAGTAATGGTAAGCAGAAAGTTTATAAATTGGTGTTCAGTTTTTAATGGTAAAAATCTCAGAATTGGTACAAGAGAAGATTCTTGCTTAAACTCAAAACAACACTTTCTAAGCAAGAATGTTGAGATTTTTTTTTTTTCTTCTGTTGGGGAATTTAGTAAGCTTATATCTCACAGCTGGCCTAACTATGTGGGAAATTTAGTTCTTTTCTTGATTAAGGTTTTTTTTTTATCTACACATGCAAGTGACTTGATAGCGTACTGTTTTGGTTAAATATGTGCAGTTCTCTATTACAGTTTGTCCTATAGTAAGACAATATGCCAACTTACAGATGGCAATGATTTGAAACCTGATTTGTAGTCCCCATCATGCCAGCCCAGTCAAGTTGCATTAGCTTCAAGTCAGACAGCACATCCTTAGTTACCCATAAAACCAAACCGGTGACAAACTGTGTGACAGCTGCCCTCCTGTAATTGTATTTCATTACTATTTTCTCTTGTTAAAAAAATGTGTGTGCCACATTGTTGCCAATTTTTTTTCTCTACCAACTTTTCTCTGCCCCCAGGGGAGGGGGGGGGGTGTTTGTATGTGTGTGAGCTCTAGCAACTAGAGTTGCCTATCTATCTGCATATCCATAATTATGCTAGATTTTTTTTTTGAGGGAGACCACATAATTGTTCCTGTGTAAAAAGGAAAAAATTATCAAAATCAGGCTTTTTGGGTCCTGCTTCTTTCTCTGGTTTGTTCTTGGCTGATGGAATGGTGGGATATTGCCCCTGGTTTTGTCTTTGAAATGAGTTTTCCGTGCAAAATCTCTTTTCTCTAGTCTGAGACCTTTAGCAAGATTTCTGCAATCACAGTGTGTGTTTCCCTACCTGCTAACTTAACTTCTCTTTCAGCCTGTTTCATCTGAATTTACAAAGGCATTGAGGTCTCAACAGTGTTTTTTTAAATTTTTGTGAAAATAGGTAAGCCTGAGATAGATATATTAATACTCAAATCTTAATGAAAGCTAAAAGTTAGACAGCAGAGAAATGGAGATGCTTAGTCTTGTGGAAAAAAAATCCCCAGGAGTCCAGGCTTTGCTGATCCCATTGCCTGTGGTTCAACTTCCTGTGGCAATAAAAAGTTCCTGGTTTTGCTTTTATTTCTTCATTATTTGAAGCTGGCAACTGATTATTCACGGTGCGTAACAACAACAAGAGTAAATCTCTTGGAGTGACGAGTTTGAGGGTTTTTCCCGCTGCTGAAACACGAGAACGGTGTATTTAGTCATGGCTACTAACCTGGCACACAGTGACCCTGCGCGTCTCCTTGCCTTGCTCAAGATGGACAGCAGTATGATGTCACGGTTAAAAGTAAGTAAGTGGTTATGTATTACGGCTTTCTAGTAAACCACGAGTTGTTTTATTCACACACATAAACTTCAACTGATTGTACGATACGACTGTCAAGACAGTCGCTTTTACTCTCTTGCCATGATTTCAGTTTTGGGTTAACCTTAGAACTAAAGAACTAGAAGAATGCTGATAAATGTACTTCTGTTTAAATGACAGCAGTTCGACCAGTTCCATTTAAAAAAAAAATAAATCACACTGGTAAAGAAAGGAAAAAAAAAAAAATCTTACTTAAAATTCTTTTCTGTAGAAAAAATACAAAAAGGTGAAAACGCTGAATGATAAATCAGGTGGATGCACCGAATTTGCATCCACAGCCTAACTAGGTCTCTGCTGCTGTCATGATAAATGAAACATACCTAGAAAAGGTGTTACTGGATTTCAGGAATGTAAATAAAAGCCTTTCTTTTGAGAGCTCAGAATATACTACTGGAGCAGATAACATGAATAAAGATTGAATCCCACGAGCCCCAGTGATCTAAAATAAAATTCAATTTTAGCTGAATTAAGGGCATGCCTCTCAATATAATTTCCATTTAAAAAAACCCCAAAAATACCTTTTTACTGTTACAATTGCAAAGGACAATGTAGGGACCTAGCAGTCATTGGTAGCTGAACTTGTAGCAGTATGGAGCATAGGCTCCTGCAATAGATGTAATAGTTAAGTATTCCCTAACTTTTCACCAGTTCATTTAAGAGAAAAGCTTTCCTATATGTAAAAATGCATATTCAGTAGCCAGCAGTTGTCCCATTTCCCTTGCCTCCCCTAAAAACCCAAAGGAAGGATCTTAGCATGGCTTGGGAGGAAGGGGAGGGTTGGATAGGAATTACATAAATATTTACATAGTTGCAGGTAATCTTAAAATTGTAGAGTGGAGCTATTAATTAGTACATTGATGGTGGCTTGGATTTCCTTACTGTTCTGATGCGGAAGTAGAGCTTGTAAGTCGCTACAGATAGATACTGTTTTACAGCTCAGTAATGATGTTTTGGGGTGTGGGGGGGTAAGGTCTGTAGCCCTTTACTGCACTTAATAGCACCAGTGCATTGTTGCTTCTTCAGCTTTGTTTTCGCAAGCCCGCAGGCTGCTGTGGATTAGTGTTAATCTATGCCGAGTTATTTGGCCTTTAAGTCACTGTAAAGATCACTGTTCCTTTTCCTGGTCAGCCGTGAAGGACTATAGTTCCTGTACATTATTGGTTCGCTGAGGCTGCTGAATTTACTTGCTTTGGCCCTACAGCGCAGGGTCCCTGGCTTGGATCGGATGAGCCTGTGGGATCCGCAACTGGGAAAAAGTTCTTCAGATTTTCCTACTGACTTTCTAAGTTTGTCCTTCATCATGTCATAAACGGCTAGAGGCGATGCTGTAGGGTAGATGTGATTATTACATCCATACTGATAGCCAGGGGAAACAGCCAAGGAAAAGAGCAACTGCAACAAGTTACCTGCCCAGGGGTTTGAAGGTTCCCATGCAGCTGCAGGAAGCATACTGAATTACTTGTTTCCCTTTGTCAGGGTGGCTTGGATTTGGCCATGGGGACTCCTGCTTATCCTCTTTTTGGATGGAGAGAGAGAGAGAGAGAGGTATGTATGTATCTCTTTGGGATGCAGGGCGGGGGGGGGGAACAGAAAGAAGGCTTCACTGTCTTGAAACAGCACTATATGTAATAGTATTGTGAGGTATTTTATTCCCTTTTGTTGTGAGCAAAGCTGTAAGCCATTTTATACATCGCACATAGGTAAGCCGTTAACAAAGTGAATAGCTAGACAAAGAAAAACGAGGGGTAGAATTGTCCCAGCTTCATTCCCCATATCTATATTCAGGCCCCCTCTGCCTAGCACTGTTTCCTCAAAGGCCTGTAACAGGGACAGATGTGTTTCCAGCATGTTGAGCTTCTGTTAATGGAAGTTTTATGTCACCCTTGTGAGGAAATGTTTCTTCATTTCATCAAAGAAAAGCATCTAAGCAATAGCAGACTTAGTGCTGCCAACCTTCTGAGTGGGCCAATAGCTTACCCGAAGTACAGCGTTAGCGAAGGTCAAAGCCAGGCATACGGAATGGCTGTTCCTGCTGCTGGTTGCATCTGTCGCTCTCTGTGTACTGAGCACTGGGGGGAGAGGGAGAGGCTGAAATGCCAACAAGAAGCTGAAAGGTGTGTAGCGGGCAGGATGAAAACTTGGGGCTTCAGGTGTACCCCCAGCTTATAGCAATTTAGTTACCAAAACACTCTACAAATTAATCACAGAGCTGCGGTTCTCGTAGCATACAGGTTTTCTTTCAAGTTTGTAAAACAAAAAGCAGAATGTCACCACAGCCTTTAATTTCTTCTTGTACATACCATTCACAGTACATTAACAGCCCAAATAATATTGCACTGGATTATTTTAAAATTTTTTCATCTTGCAAGTAGTATTCACTTTTCAAAGCCAACAGATGAACAATTTGGTCAACTTGCACCAAGAAAATTGTTAGATAAGGATCCTATACTTTATTTATACCACATGGATTTGTAACCCCAAAGGGAAATGAGAATGAGCTGTAAACTGTTTCTTTAAGACAGAAAATTAGTAATTCCTTGCTGATTAAATGTAGAAAGACCGGGGAAAAAAATGAAATCTGAAAGTTATCTCATTCCTGTGAGACTGCTTGCTGTATATATAATTATATTCTATACTGTGAAAGTCCATCTACATTTAAAAATCCAGCAGTCTACAGATTAACATGGTAAAAAAAAATAATATATTTTTATGAAAAGAGAAGAAATAGTGTTTGCCTCAGAGGAGAAAGTTTTCAGATTGTGAAGTCATATTTTTTTTTTTTTTTAGGTGCAATCCTTGAGGCAACAAAATGTCTTTTGGCATTTGGCACTCTAATAAGGACAATATTTTAATACTGGCACAAGCTAAAAACAGCACAGAATGACAAAATACAAGACATGAAACAAACTGCAGCCACTGGGATGATGGTAAGCTAGTTTGAACATACGGAGAACTTAAACAGTTTTGCTGAGGAATTGTGAAAGCGTCTGCAAAACCATACTTATTTTTTTCTTTTCTTTTACCAAATAGTAAGTTTTACTAAACTTGGAGGGAGAAAAGAGTTTCAAATGTCCTCTAGAAAATCAGCAGCTGCTGGACAATCAACACGGCGGCTTGTTTAGCCGTCAATAGGCGTGAGGCTCTTTATGACTCAGAGCTCGAGTGCGTGAGGCAGAGCTGGTGGCACTTCGGATCACTTCCATCCATCTGTGAGGAGGCACGAGGAGACACACGAACAAAAGAACGGTCAGTTCCTAAGAAAGAATTTCTTGAAAGATACAGTCTGTGCTGTTAGTTGTACACAGTTTTATTGTCAGTGCCTACAGGAGCATCTTGTTTGCTACTCTACTCCTAAGTCTATCTGAAGTCAAGAGGCTCTAGATCCAAATGACTGCCAAATGCATATATGAAGGGAGGTTTAGAGAGGATAAACATAGGGGACAGGACCCAAAATTCATGAACTTAGTAGTGGTTTTACTTGTTCTGCAGACACCAAATCTCTCTTTTTTTTTTTTTTTTTTTTTTTCCCCCCCCCGGATGATCCAAGTGATGAGCAGTTGAGACCAAACTCTTCATTCTAGAGTGAAAAAATGTAACTTAGCTGCAGTTCCTACTTCTTTTTCCTCGAACTGAGAAAGGGCTTTTGTGTTTTTCCTATTCTACTCCCTTATTTAATCACCTCTTTCCCACAATTTGCCTTATTTATAGTTTTAGACTGACATGGCTAATAATAGCTTTCTTCAATAACAGAGGACATTAAGATTTTTGACATGTTAATGCTTCATATAAAAAAGCTAAATTAGTTCCCAGTATGAACAATGTCAAACCACAATTTAGGAGGAGTAGTGCCTGTTTCCTAGCGCTCTCTGTGTCTGAAATTCAGTGGGAGGTGTGAAAGTTACATGTTGAAGTGGCATAAATACATAGTAAGAACAGCCGCTTCTGTGAAAAATTAGAATTTTATTTCAGGTGTGGATTTTCTGTCTAGTTGTCCTAGAGGGAGTGAAGTTATTCTGAAAAGTCCTGGGATCTGTTTACATGCTTCCTGAAGTCTGAGACATAGAGCTCCCTGTGCAGCCAGCCTGACCAATTTTGACCAGATAATTCCTGCACAGGTTGTGTAGTGATTACTATTACAGCTACCACATTATCAAAACCAACCCCTTGGTTTCTAGCATTATCAGGTGTAAAATTTCTTTTAAAATTTTAAAGGGTTCTTTCTCTAGTTGTGCTGCACTACTTGCCCATATTACTGAATCAATTTACTAAATTTTGCACCTACTAACCTCGTTTGGAAAATTCCCTCTCACAGAAGGCTGACTTACTTACCTTTCAAATGTGTATTCACTTTCAGCCCTGAAGTAGTACACGTGGGATTTGAAATGTAGCTTGAACACATAATCTTTGTGAATGTTTTCAGATTCGGAAGGAATGGTAAGGGAATATCCCAATAAAGGAAGGCTGGCTAAAGGATGATTGTCCTGAAAAGAAATGATGGAAAATGCTGTGAGATCAAATGCCCTTAAGTAAAGAGAGCACATAAGTAAAATGGAAGATAGATACACACTCATTTAAAGGTCATCATCGTGTTTCCACATGCACATGGAAAAAAATACCAGCTTTATGCAATCGTGATGAACTTAATTATCTGGTAGTTTCAGCTGGCCGATCTTTATAGATGCTTCTCGTAAGGGTCTGCTGCAGACTGATCCTATCGGGATTTCCTCATAAAGTTGTCTGAAATCTTGGACTTTTCACTACTTTCAAATTAACGAACATAAAGCTCCATCATCTGGCCTTGGCAGGGCACCATGTATGTTCATCCCAGGCTTGCAAACACCTACTCCTTTAGAAATGTACCAGCCACCCTGCAGCATGCATTGCTTAAGTCCTTTCACTTCACGGCATGGCACGTATGAACAAATCATTTCTTTATCCCACTTATGAGTAGAATATCCTACAATTCATTCTTTTCTTTAGTGCAGAAACCCTATTGTTAGGGATTTCTATAGCAATGAAAGGACAACATAGCAATTGGAATTATTTTGTGCTCAAACACAGAGATTCCAAAGTCCAACAGATTCTAGACAGAAAGCCCCCTACTTTTGCAGTGGGATGTTTGCTCAGATGGATTAATCATTGGCCACTGTTCTCTCTTGTTTGACTTACTTAAGCATTAGTAATGGTAAACAAAATTTGTAAGTCACTATTAAATTTTTTATTGTAATAATCTCAGAATGTGTACAAGAGAAAACTCTTGTTTAAACTCGCACCACAATTTCTGAGCAGCAGTGCTATCTGTTGTACTTTTTAGGGATATGTACTGTGACTGTCCAAATTTTAGGAAACAAGCACGTGTTCCTCAATTGACAAGGGAGCAGACTGAGAACAGGCTCTGCCCCATGTTCCAGCAGCAGTAAAGGCTGTGTAGCTGTGACCAGCACACACACTTATCCCACCTATGCCATCTGTGACCGATGTCCGCTTTTATCTCTGCTACCGCTTTGAAAAAACAAAAGGTCTTCTCCAGCCACACACACTTGTGCAGTCTGTTACCTGGTGCGATTTATAGAAGAACATACAAAAGTTGGTGAACACCACCCAAAGCTTCTGCCACCCGTTGCTGTTTTTGAATTTTCTTAGGAGATTTCCAGACAGCTGGTTCTGAAACAGATCAAAAGTAGCCAAATAAAACAGTGAAAGGTACCTGCAGTTTAATTATCGTAAGAAAAATTATCTGCTTTTATCTGGTTGTATGTGAAAATGTTTTGGTTGAATGGACGTACTTTCTACTACTAAGTAGTACTTCATGTAGCTTTTTTTTGTTTGTAGCTGGGTACTTGCAAAAACTTCAAGCTACTACACTTTTTTTTTTTAATTGAGGTGGCTTTCAGTAATATATTACTAAACATCAGTCTTGTTATCCTAGTCTGCCTTTGTTCTTTTCAAATGATACTTAAATTGAATAATGGAAACAGAAAGTCTGACATGAATTTGTGATGTAAAGGAAAGTTATGACATACTTTAGAATTGCAGATAGAGATTGAGTGCTCAGTACCCGGTGAGTTCACATGGTAACTTTTCAAAGATTTCAAAAGCAAGGACTGTTGATCTTATTCTTAACTGGATTTTGGATATTTTAACAAAAACAAGGAGGAAGCCGTAACCAAGTACAAGTATTTAACAGCTGGCAGTAGAAACCACTCTTCACGTAGTGAAGATGTGAAAGTCCAGTATCATTGTGCCTTGCAAATGAAGGGGAGTTCTCAGTGAATTAGTAATTATTTCCCATTCCTTGTAAGGGCTCTCACCTGGATCAAAATAGCTGTTTACATCATTCTCATTAAGTGATTAGCTTCTGCGTTATATAATCTGTAAAGCTTAATAGTCAAAGTCTGGTGGTCCTAATGTATCTACTACAAATGAAATATTCTTGAAAACGTTCTGTTTTCACCAGTCTTGGATATACATTAAAGCCTTTGCTTTAAATCATCCCATTCTCTGATATCTGGACTGCTGCCTCCTTGCCCTAAATTACAGGTGTACTCCTTAATTTTCTGTTACCTCATTACTCTGGAGGATATCATAAAAGGACAGGCTTTGCATTCGGTACCAGCAGACATATGAAATGGAAACAGGCCGCTGATCACTGATCAGTCCAGCAGGTAGGGAAGTACAGTCACTGACAGAGAGAGGATCTTCTACCACGAGAGAGACAGAAAGGAGGGAGAGACACAAAGAAAATAAACGATAATGCTGAAGTGAGAGCCACCAACAGAATGATGTGAGCATGAGCGTAACCTGCCACGCATGGAACAGCAGTGGAGCTGAAGATGTTTTCACAGAACAACGTATGTTTCCAAGGTGTGTTTGGTCTTCGCTGCTTTGCTTGCATTCATTTGAGGGATGGGAAGGAACGAAAATAAGGAAGAATGAGCACTGATCTCAGACCAAAAGATTTGCCTAACTAAATGTGTTAAGTGTTAGAATTAGTCACTGGTTTAAGTTTTGTATCTATTTATAAGAAGCCCCTGCTTATTCCCTAACTGCTTTAGGGAAAAATACAAGACCTTGTTCTGTGCTGAACTATTCCTCCCTTGCAGGATATAAGGGTATAAAGAGCAGAAAATCCACCTCCTTGGGATCAAAATGAGGCTCTGTAGTTAGTGCTTTCTAGTACAGAATAATTTTCTTTGTCATATTTCAACAATAAACTCACCTTCTGTTTAAAAACAGAGGCAGTTACACGAACTATGAATACGGTGTGTCCTTGCATCTCTACGTTCTGCATCCATACATCTCTAGAGCCACGGTGGCCTGATGTCTGAGAGCTGCCTTGTGAGCCCAAGTCGACTCAGCTTTAAGATTCCTTTTACCATTTCATTGACCATAAATTTCCATTTGATGAGGACTGTTAAAGTACTTGGAGACTGGCTTGGGTGAAGGAAGAACTCCTAAGCCTGCTTACCACCTCATCCTAAAACCTACACTGGACTAGGCTTCTTTCATTTTAATCTTTGAAAAGTCAATGTCTGCATCTCGTCTGTTGAGTACACAATTAGCAAATGTGTATCAAATTGGCTTAGCTGTGATCAGGGGGGAAAAAGGATTCTTATTTTGAGGTGGAAAATGCAAATAAAGAAAAAGCAGATGACACTGAGCAATGAGACAAAGTTCCAGAAAAGATGGCTAGGTAAAGAAAGTACGTTAGTAATACACATAATTAAAACTCTGGCTGCAGCAGCTAAAGACAATATCCTTTCAGCTCGAGCAATGACTTAATGCCTCTGTAACTGAAAGCATTAAGACAGTTTGACCTGCTTTAAATTTGAAAGGGCATCAGCGTTTTTTTTGGACAGTTAGTTCTATGAAAATTACCGCTCTAACTGATTTTACAAAGATGCACTAAGGGAGCAGGTACGTGTTTCCTGACTGATGGTTTATGCCATCGTTTGAGGATCTGGGAGTCAGTTTAATAGGTGTGCCTGAAACTTCCCCAGGAGGAGACAATGGAATAGTGCACTTATTAAAGAGGAGCAAAAAGGAAATTGTCATTCAAGAGCGAGTCGGGAGCTGCAGTTCAGATCGTTCTGAGGCAGATACCTCCACAGCAATACTAAAGTCGATCATTGAAACACTGGTATTTCTGTGCCAGCAGACGTGCACCGTAGTGTTGCCACGGTGTGGTGACTGACGTTCGAGTGAGGTGCGGGATGCACTGAGGTCGTCCTCAGATTCCTGGTCTACAGTAGTTTCATCAGGAGACTCTATGAAATGCAGGGAAAAAGCATCTTTCTTCCTCTATGCAACAACATATATAATTGGAAAAATTAAACAAATAAATTCTGTCCACAATATTGTGAACTAATTTTAAAACACGCTTTTAGAAATAATTTTGTGCAGATGCTAAGTAGATTATTTTTTTTTTTACACGTTTCTGCAAATGTTAGAATCAAAGACTAACTACCATGCTTTCTTGGTGCTTTTAATACCTTCCAAGGGACAGGCACTGCCCAAATCTTTTTAAGCGTAATGATTCCAGGAACTATTTAAGTCACTTCTCTATTCAGTGAAACTTTCTGCTACCGTCAACAAGAACATTAAAATGCCACATATATAAATCTATATGCATATATAAATCAACTTCAAATGTATCAGTTCGACCTGTGGCCAGCATTCTTCACGACTTTGCTTAGAAGCAGTCACCAATCATACTGACGAAAGTGAGTAAAACCTGCTCTCTAGCATTTACTTACTATTGTCAGGTGGGCTGCTAGCCAGTAACTCTGGGGCAGGGCCACTGCTTTTCTCTGCCAGGTCTATTGCCATCTGAATGTCCTCAGTCCATTTGTCCATTTCAGCGCGGGTACTAAAAATGACAATTCAGGTTTTATTCACTTTCACACAGGCTGAAAGCAAACTCTAAGAAATAGTCACAAGCTGAGCTTACTTTTAATTTAAATAAATAAATAAAGACACAAGATACTAGGTTTTTTTCCTAATAACTTAGTTTTCCTTCTGACTTGCACAATTGCTACTCTATTTTGTCCCATTCAACTACTCAACCTTTTTTTTTTTTTTCTTCCCAGGTGGCTTTCACAAAAGATTATAGCTTTGAAATTGTTTCAGGAGCAAATCCAAACAAAATGATGCCTCTCTGCTTTTCTATCTGTCCCACTGTGAAAGCTGCACAGAAATACAGTTTATATGTGTCTGTTGTCTCCACTGAATTACCTTGCAGCAACAACGATGGACTGGTGTTGACCTCGTAGTGTTAGACAATGAGGAACACCCCATTCCTCTTCACTTTCTTCTATCTGAGAGATAAAAGCCCAAATGCAGTCAGATTGCAGGAAGTACATATTTCTTAAGGTGAAACAGCAAACTGAACAAGCTTTTACCACTGGGGAAAAGAAAACTAAGAGCAATGTTCACAAACGGCAATTTTGAGCTAGGTATTGAGAAAAAGATGGTGGCTTGGCTTGCAAGTTGGAAAAACAGTAAGTTCTGCAATTACCTCCTAAACCAAAAGCATGGCTTTGTCTGCTTTGTGTAAAAAAAAAAAAAAAAAAAAAAAAAAAAAAAAGGAAAACAGTGGTACTTTTATCAGAAGAGTGACTCATCATACAAAAGGATATGTTTATGGCTGGGAGTGCTCTGGACACTGCAGCATAACACAGTTCTGTTGTGAACAAGTCCACACCAAATGGACGTCAATAATTGAGTAGATTCCTAGAAATGCTAGATAAAGCTTGAAGCCTTGCAGGTGTTTAGAGAAATTCAGTTACTGTGGTAGTGATTATCTAACTCAATTCTCAGGAAAACAGTACAGAGCAGATACAAACCCATGAGAAGTTCCAATGAAAATAATGAGGGGGGAATGCAAGTGTTTTGAAACTAGCAAAAATATTTTTGAAATTATGTAAGAAGAGGTAACCAGGTGCGATTGGCTCAGATTGGCTGTTTTCCAGAGGAATTGCAACAAGAGCTCCAAACGACGTATTGCTGCTAGTTTCCCACTACTTTGGCTTTAAGATACAGAGCTGAAAACATTAGGAAATGTTTTTTTTTTTAATATAGAAATTAGATTGTTGCTACTGTTTACTTTCCTTGCACAGTGTGTCTATAAGCAATTGGTGATGAATTACTTGCAAGAATCATGGTTAAATTTACGGTTTTAAAAAAATAAAGAACCCATCTCACGGGAAGTTTACATTATGAGGAAGCTGCCCCCCAAAATGCCCCCCCCCTCTGCTATATAATCACCTTTGTGTAGAAGGCTGCATGAACACATGCCAAACCCAACACAGCCCCATCAGGCACTGTAGAACGTAACCACAACTTCTCTGAATCAGAGAATAGCCCTTTGCTCCTGCTTTCACTCCAGCAGAAACTCATCAAGCAATTAAGATGGGTCCAGAAATGGCCATTTAAGCATGAATACCTTAAGTTCTCACAATACTTACTGTCATGCCATACAGTGGAAGATGCCCGTGGACTTTAAACTGATTCGATGCTGTCAGGCCTCTACTTGTGTACAACAAGATATCGTTGAACTAAAAAGCAAGAATAAGCATTATTAGAATTTTGTTGGCATGTATGTACGTAGAAAAAAACCCATCAGAATGGTAAATACAAGAAAGTTAGCCAGTACTGGCTGACTATTTATGTGGCAGTCCTAATGCATGAATCCAAAATACTGGCTTCTGCAACACTCCAGCACCTAGTCTTAGCACCTGTTATTTTCCCTGCCTTCCTTCCCAGCTAGTCTCAGACATGTTCCCATCATTTTCCACTGGATATCTTCTGATGCCTTCTAATATTCCCTTTGTGATCTCTGGGTCAGAACTAACAAGCCACAACAGCAGTGAAACCAAGTAGAACGTTTCACACTCTGAAGCTATGCAAGATAAAGTGTGTTTCACCAATATTTTCTTCTCATTTGTGTGGAAAGATAAGCAAACAGGCCCGAGAGATGTGTCCAACTTAACTCTTACAAAGTAAGTGGCTATCTTTTACTCCCCATATTCAGAAGGAAGCTGGGAGACCTGTTTTAAGGTTGATGGATTTAAGTTAGAAACATCAAGGTGAAGAGACTGAGTATCTCAATTTGTAGAGCTTCCTGCATGTAACACCAGTTGTCAAAAGCACGTCAAATGCCTGCATTTTGTTGCCATAAAACAAATGGTGTATTTTCAATGTGCCACCTGGGTCAAAGGATGTTTTTCTCAAACCAGACAGATGCATCAGGAAAATCATACTCTGTGGTGTGAAACAGAGCTCCCACCACAGACGTCTACAATCCAACAGCAATAATCCATGAAGCTGTATGGATCAGCCACTAGAGGGGGATTTAATTTTGCCAATGATTACACATGTATTCAGAGTCCCAGAATACTGACCCAGGATTTTATCTCCAAAAAGATTCCAGTGCTTGAGACAGACCAAAGACTTCTTTGACAGTGTGAGCAATTGACTTGAGAGTCTAGTCTCAACTTTTTCATGTTTTATACAGGTATAATATCGATGCACCATCCGGTAACAAGAATGGTAGTATACAAGAAAATATGCACAATATTCATAAGGCTTCCTCTTCAGTGCCTTTAAAAGCAGAGGATAATCCTACTCAAGTAGATTCAGCGGTTACACCTTTGGCTCATTTGAAAGATTAAATGTCAAACAACTTGTAAAACCTAGCACACTCACAAGCTTTTCTACACACCCACTGTCTTCACCTTTTGCAGACAAGAAGCCAAGGATACGTTCCTGCCATACTGCACTGACTCGTTAATGTTTTGCCCTGTAACACTGGACTAGAAAATCTATGCACTCTGCAGGGGGTCCCAGTGCCCCAGCACCAAGGGCTCAGCAGCAGCAGGATGGGGAGCTTGGGACAAAGTCAGCTGTCTGGGAAGAAGGAGAGAGGAAGAACCATCTGGTTGGCTTTTGTGGATCGGAGACCGAGTGGGATCACCGTAACCTGAAAATGCTGAGTGATGTTGGGAGGAAATAACCTTTCCTAGTGCAAGAGCTACAAAATGTACCTCCAGGTAAAGGCAGGTCCATCAACATGCTGCACACTCGTGGGCTGAAACTGGATGCTTTGTGGAGAAACTTGGTTCTGTAATGTGTCCCGAGAGTGTTATGTGGATTATCGTTCATACCACCAGGAGTTATTCTTTATCCTCTTTTCTGGATATGATCACTAATCCTGGTGCCACTTTTCATTGTATAACAACTCTGCTTCTATTTAAGACAATGTGCTAGGAGGTATTATGATGCATTACATACATAATACAGGTGATGTATTATGTTAACTTAAATAAGGCTGTTTAAAAATACCGTAATTCACAGTTCAAGTCTAACTGTATGTCTAATAGTTGCCTATAGTTACATTTTGTTATTTAAAGAAAAACTGTCTTCTTGCTTACCAGAAAGAACATCCGTTGCTGTAAACCTTTTCCAGACAACTTACTAAGACTACCCAGTCGAATGAACTCCTGTGGGAAACAAATACAAAACAAATATGTATCTTCTGCAAAAACAATGATGAGTTTTTATTATGCAAACATAAATATGACTACCTGGTCATAGGACTGACTTGCCTATCAGTCACCAAGACTTTTTATTTTCTTTATTAAATATGTTAAAAGTCTTATTTATGGGATAATTTATTTCCATTTGTAACTATCTTTAGGACAAACTCCTTCATAGTCTTTCTTTCATTTTAAGAAAATTCAGCTAAGCAAAATATTCTTTACCTAACATTGATTCCTTCAGAGAGCTCCCTCTTTCATCAGTTTTGAATGAGTATTTTTCATGATACAAATGATGTAAAAACTAATGATAAGTTGGCCTGTGTGTTAGTGGTTAGCCACTGGTAAGCTTCTGTTGTGCATATGGCATACATAGCTCTTCACTGAGAAGTAAAATCAGCTACACAAATCAACATCAGCAGCAGTAGAAGAAGGAAATTTGTCTGGCAGTGTGAGTTATCCTAGTACCATCCATGTCATATAATACAGTACATTAATTCAGATCAAACTGTTCAAGAATGTTTAGGGATGGAATTAAAGGAAAAGTACCACATCTGAACCTTTCAAAATGCTTGATTTCCTGGGCTTACTGTGAACTATACCATAACTCACCCCTCCACTTATCTGAAATCCATGAAAATATCATTTTTCAGTCGCTCCCTCGAGCTTCTGCCAAGAGGTTTATATTTATTTATTACAGTCTTTCTACGGCCATTCTACTCATAATTGTGCATGTAAAAGGCATATAAAGCATCAGAATCACCTGCAGCTTAGGAATAAATTGGCTAAGATTAATCTGTTCGGAGAGACACTCTGGTCGCCTTAGGGTTGCTGTGATGTGTCCAGTCCCCCCACCTGAATCCCGTAAGGGCTAAGTGGTGGAAAAAGTGACTAGAGGTGGTTATCCCTATATCATGGTATGCCCACGTTACCAGAGAGGCCACTGGAAGCTGTTGCTGGCTACCAAAGAACATTAATCATAATTACTATTTATACAGTACCACCTAATAGTCACTAGCAGGCTTAGCACCGCCATGGCAAGTGCTGTGCCAACACACGAATCAAGAGCTACAGGTCATTGCAATCTGCAAGCGCAAGTGACCACGGCATGTTTTAACACCCAGTATAGGAACCTGCTGCGTGGCGGCAGAGACCCCAGTCCGGGACGACGTGAAGAGGATGGCCACCTACAGCCTCTTTTAGGACAGCTGAATCACCGGCCTAACACGAGACTTCTCCTCTGGGACACGGAGCTCACGTAAACCCAGCCGTGGGTGACGGTGGCATTTGCCTCCCAGCCTGGCCCTGCACCGGGGCAGGGACTTCAATTGGAGCCAGAAGAGCAGCTGGAAGCAGCAACATCTTGGGCTTGCGCCAGAGCATGGTGGCCAATGCTTTTTGCCTTGGCAGGCAAACCACCTCTGCCCCGTCTGCCTGTTTCTTGAACTTCCTAGGACAGGAAGACTGCTCTGTCTTTAAATAGAATAGGGTAGCAGGAACACCCGATGACAGCACTTAATTTCATGTGATAAGAGATGTGCACGGGCTGTGAAATATCCTGAGGGGCTTGCCAAGGAAGTGAACGGTCTGTGGATCACTGGAAGGAGGCGTAAGCCTGGGAGCCAGGGAAGAGGCAAAGCGAGGGAGCGGGGAACAGCCACAAATCCAGAAATACCTCTGCTTGGCACTGCCTTCCCAATGGCACATCAACTTCAAACCCCTTTTTCTAAATGTTTGAATCCTTAAATGAAACTAGACCCTAGAGAGCCCAGCAAGCTGCCTCTGTGCCGCGCCCCTGCCGTGGCACTAGACACGGCCACGGCACGGCAAGCAGACCCCTGGCTGCGGCTCTCGCCCGGCGGTGGTCCAGCCGTCCTGCAGGAGCGCATCAGGGCTGGATGGCTGGGCTGCAGGGCAAGTTCAAGCACTGCCGTATTTGCAGTTCAATGCAAAACTCATCTTTTTTTCCAAGCTGTTTCCCAGAAATGCGTATGGGGCGGGAATAGTCTAGCGATGCATTTTCCCCAGCATTTCAGTTGCTGCAAGTACTGGTTTTGTGTATTACAGACAAAAGTCAAGGAGTGGGGAGGAAATTACTTCAACAGACAACTCTCAAGTTTGCATGCACAGATACATGCACCTAGAAAAGTAAAAAAGGCTACAAATATTACACTGAGGCTCATTTATTCTGAATTAAACCTCCATTTTTAAAAAAGCATGACAATTAAGAAAGAGATGTTGGTATTTTTATAACATTAAAACATTTAAAAAAACCCTAACATTAAAAGTGTTTACTTAAGGCAACACTGTCTCAAAAATTATTGCCTAATGTTACATGTAGACTAAAGAGACTGCTTGTCCCCAGGGCCATGAGTTTCAAAGCTAGGCATCGTGAAAGGGTACAAATGTCTTACTTTCCTTTAATCTGCCAAGTTCTAGCATCAACGGTTGGGGGAAAAAAAAAAAAAAAAGAAGGAAAAAAAAAAAGGGCAGCAAGAAATGAGGAAATGTGCAACTGCTCAAGCTCTGAATGCTGTGATAAATACATTTTTACTGCCTCTGTTGTAATAGATGTTTGGAATTGCCTACAACCATCCAAATCTATACATAAGATAAACCTAATAAAATCAGTAAAAAGGTAATAAAGATGATTGCCTCTTCCCGCTTTAAAGGCTGCTGTTTTCTATGGTATTGTTGTGTATATATTTGATAGTTTTTGGTGAGAGAAGAAGGTTCATATGAGGAAAGGCAATTTCATAGCCGCTCCTAATAAACAGGTTTCTAAAACGTACCTAATGCTCTGAAATTGTATCAGACCTTGATCACAACTCTGCTACTTACCCTTCCTGGGATCACCAGATTGTCTATGCCTATCAAGTCTTTCTTGAGTTCATGCAGCTTCTGGAAGTTCTCCATCTTTATCATATTGCCATGGAGCTGAGCCACCATTTCAGAAATCTCAGCCAAAGCAGCTAGATGGACAAAACATAAAAAGCTTATTAAAAATGTACAAGAATGTTCAAAAAGAAAGATGGCTTTTGTCTGCAGCACCCAGCTTATGAGCATCACCCTTCTTGTGTTACCCTTCTTCACAGTGTAAAGCTACTCAGGCAGACTAAAATCCACACAAACTCTGGACATCATCTTAGGGAGTGGAGGGGAGAGGGTGGAGTGTAATGAAGAAACAGTCTATTTCCTCAACCAAAAGTTTGCTTAATTTTAGCTACAGGAACTTTGTAGGAATACTCAAGTAAATTCAGAGCACCAATGAATGGGTTCTCCTAGAGGACTTAACTTCCTACATCTCCAGTTAATCTAGGGATCTTCTCTATCCTTGAAAAAGAAAAAAACAATTTCCCCCCCCCTGCAGCACACTGGGTCAGGTCTGTATTTGAAAACACCAGGAAATGGCAGTGTCATTTATTGTATCATTTCAGATGTTAAACACAGTAATCTTGGGGTTTGCTCTCGGTCCCAGCAACGAGAGCAACTAAAAGGGCTGCACGTCACTGAGTCGCATCACGACTCTACTTCATTCTCTCCAAAGACACTACCAACGAGTGACTTAAAACCTGGGAGTGAATTTCCTAAGGCAAATCTCCATTGTCATAGGGGATTTTTGCTGTGTGAAGAAGGATCAGGTGGGATACAGGAGGAAGCAGGCACTACGAAGTCCCATGCTGCAGCAGCAGAAGCCAAATCAAGTGCAGGCTGCTGCCGATCTGCTTTCCTTGTCTTTTTGCTGTGCCAACAACGCAGTAAGTCGACTCGGAGAACTAAGCTGAAAATCACTTCACCATTTGATCTTTTCTGGGGGATCAGCTCATGGACTGGCTCCCTGTGCCACCGTGTACGTAAGCACCAACCTTGGTACCCCTGAACGGACAGGCAGTCTCTGAATGGGCCAAACACACTGACTGACTTTAGTGCTAGAAGAGCAGTTACAGCCAATTCTGTTAAAAAAATAGTCAAGAGAACAGTAACAGTGGTTCTTTCTTCCTTCTTACATCATGCTCAGTGCATAGTTCATTCACCTGTTAGTGGGAGATCTGTGTTCTCTGCTGGGATTCACATCCACATCTCCCATTTTTTTTTGCTTCCTTTACGCTCTGACCTTTAACAAAAATCTGCAAACACCTTAGTAAGAGACAGATCCCAGAGTGATGGTGTCTCTGAGTCACACTGTCCTTCTCATGCTCTCTTATTTTCACCCCTGAATCCTGTGTTTGTATCCATTTCAAAAGTGGAGCAGGAATCAAACTTCGAGAGCTGCTGCGCTCTCTGGGGAGGTGGGAACGGACACACCATCCTCATCATCTAGCCTTGGCTAAAAGACATGAAGGCACTACTCGCTGCGTTCCTTGAGATCATTCAGGCCGGAGCTACGTTTAGGCAAACATCCGTGTCCCACAGCACTTCGGTGCCACGGACCTCTGTGGCATTTCCTATTGCTGCAGGTCAGGTTACCTCTGCATTTTGTGCACTGCCTGCCGTGGGCGTCATCGCACGGCATCTGAGGGAACTTAGCCAGCTAACTCAGCTAAACCTTGCAGCTGGGAGCAGTCATGCCAAGCGTTGCTCCCGGCCCAAGTCGTTCCGTGGATCTGCACTGAGTGCTAACTGTACAGATAACATAGTTATCCTTAAATGTAGATAGCTTACAATGGGGGTGGGGGAAGGGGGTAAGAAAGGAGGAAAACAAATCATCAGAAAGAAATAGCAGGCAGTGAGTTCAGACTACAGGAGGAAACTCTCTTTCACATTTGGAAAAAAAAAAACAAAAAAACCCACGTTGGCAACTTTGAGTTCCTGAAACAAATCATGGAAATGGTAACAGAGCAAACAGTATGTCTGGAAAAGAAGACAAATAACACTTAAAGACAAAATAACAGCAGCCACACTGGGTCAGACTAAAGGTTCACCTGGGCCAATATTCTGTGTTCCTAGCGGATCTCTAGAGAAAGCAAGGAACGAGACAAGCACATATGGTGTGTTCCCTGAGCTCTCTCCCAACCTCCCAACTGTTTTCGGTTCAAGCGACTTCCTGAACTGCGTGTCATTTCTGTGTGTTTAATAACCCCCAGCAGATTTCTTTTCCAAGTATTTGTCCAGACTGCAGCATAATGTGTCTAAAAGACCAACCTTAATCCTACCATTTCTGGTCTTCTGAGTGCTGGATTTTGCAAGTCAATCCTCTTTCAATCCTCCTCTTAAAAAATAAAGATTTTTTTTTTTTTTTTTGTCCAGGTATGCACCTCTAATGGATTTGGATGCCATTCCCCCTCCAGAAATTGGTGTCTTTTCTCTTACCTCTTGAATCCCTGAAGTCTATGTGGCTTGGTGGGTAGTGTTTGCAAAGCCTCTCCATTATCTGCTTGTAGTGCATCAGCCTGTGTAAAGGTCTGAGAAGGAAGGTATTGAGAGGCAAGTAGCAGACTTTCTGTAGCTCAAAATCTCTGCAAAAGGTCTCCAGCTTGCGAGAGTTCTTGATCCCGTTCTCCAACTCCATTAAAATCTCATTGTGCTTCCACAGGTGAATTGTCAGTTGCTTATATGCACAAAGAAAAGAGCATGTGGTAGAGCTCTTAGCAATCACTGTGAGACGTGACTAAGCCCAAACCCATTCCAGTAAAAAATCCAACTAGCACAGCAGTTGAGATTTCACAAACAAAATCACTGTACAACACAATGGCTCTGATATTCACTTGAAAAGGAGAAATGGCATTACTCGTTTGAAGTACACCCCCCCATCCCCTCTGCATTGCCTGTAAAACGAAAGTACATGAGTAAACAAAACTAAGTCTCATATCAGTGAGAAATCCAAAGGCAAGGAGATGACACGAACATAGCTCATGCAAGTAGGTGCAACAGGGAGAGAGCCAGACAATGCAAATACAGAGCTAGGAAACTGTCCTGGTTTCAGCTGGGATGTAGTTAACTGTCTTCCTAGTAGCTGGTACAGTGCTATGTTTTGAGTTCAGTATGTGAAGAATGTTGATAACACTGATGTTTTCAGTTGTTGCTCAGTAGTGTTTAGACTACAGTCAAGGATTTTTCAGCTTCTCATGCCCAGCCAGGGCACCTGACCCAAACTGGCCAACACGGTATTCCATACCATGGGACGTCCCATCTAGTTTAGGAACTGGGAAGGGGGGGGCAGGGATTCGCCGCTCGGGGACTGGCTGGGTGTCGGTCGGCGGGTGGTGAGCAATTGCCCTGCGCATCATTTGTACATTTCAATCCTTTTATTACTACTGTTGTCATTTTATTAGTGTTATCATTATCATTATTAGTCTCTTCTTTTCTGTTCTATTAAACCGTTCTTATCTCAACCCAGGAGTTTTACTTCTTTTCCTGATTTTCTCCCCCATCCCACTGGATGGGGGGGGAGTGAGTGAGCGGCTGCGTGGTGCTTAGTTGCTGGCTGGGGTTAAACCATGACAGAAACAAAATGGGATTTTCTAAGAGGATGAAGGGATTTAGTTGCTGCAGCTCCCTTAGGTGCTTTTGGGGAACTGAGATGCAGGCAAGTGGACTTCTAGCTTCTGCTCCCCTGTTATTAACGAGAAGTTGCATCTCCTGGGAATCCAAACAAACACAATAGAGGTGTTGTCCAACAGAAATGAGTATGTTAGAGTTCTTTATCCTTGGATTAGATCCTCTTCTCCTTAGTGCAGTCTCTAAGATGATCCCACTGGCAGCAGGGGATATGTAACTTCATGAAATACATAACGCATGAAATACGTAACTTCATTTAGGTCTCAGTATCACAGACATTCACGAGTCCCATTTTAAACAATTCAGCAGTATTTTTTTGAACAAGTAACACAGGCGTTTCATTTGTGTTTTGCAAAAGGTAAACTGGTTCTTCAGGATGCACAGAGCTTCTCTGAGCAGCCAAATAAAATCTCCCAGTACCTGGCAGAATATTAACCAGCAACAAAAACAAATTGAATGCTTATGTTCAATGGACTTGAGAAGACAAGTTTAACTTAATGTAAAGCTTGTGCTTTTTGACACATTTCCAATCAATTCCCTCTCTCCTGTGATTTGTGACATCTTTACAAGAAACATACCTTCTCTACAGCCAAGCCGCTTCCTCCATACACTGCATATTCATTTTCCAGGCCTGTAATTCAGGCAAAGACACAGCAGACCCTCTGGACTATTACAGAGGCTGCCCATTAATTACTTGCTCTTAATTTCTCCTATGTTAATTAAACAAGGAGTGTCAGTTTCCAGGTCTTTTATCTCGGGATAAATATGTAGAGTTTTAACTGACTCCATTGTTTCCTGTGCAGTTCTTAAAGGCCTCTTCCTCCACATATATGTGCTTATCAGTGGTGGCGGATCTCAAAGCACATGAAGGAAATCCTCTAACGGGCAAGGGAGAATGGCAAAGGTGAAAGCACACTGACAGGTCTAAGTTACAGTGAGGACTGCACGCTGCCCTTAGAATAGTGCCACAGAAGGACCTCCAGACAGTGAAGGACAGACAATTTAATGCTGCAAGGTACCAAGAGCAGAAACAGTCTGTCAGAAGCTCTCTGGGATTCCAAAAACTGTTTGTGAAAAGGTGCACACTTCTTGAGAGCAGGGATGGAGGTAGAAGAGTCCCCTCTGTGTTTCTTCCAACGCATCTGGATTGTGTCGAGAGGAAAAAGGAGTTCTTGCTAAGTACACTGGAGAAAGGGTAAGGCTCCCTTATTGGTGACAAAGCTGTCTATGTTGGGGATTGTAAATCAAGATTTCTACACTCTCTATTTCTGATTTGCTGTATAATCGCTTGCACGTCACTTAACCTCTCTTCACCTCTCTCTGTCCTTCTGAAAGATAAGCCTAGTACTAACTAACGTCTCAGGAGAGCTATAAAGATTAAACTGCCCTTTCCTCCAGCCAAGGACTCAAGGCTGCTACACTTACTACTCCAGAATGCCAAAGTGGCAGTCACCAAGGAAAGATCTATTGGATAGTTTCGAAAGCACTTTTGAGATCCACATGCCGAAGGTGCAGTGCCATGTTTTGCCACACGCTAACCTGGACGCATAGCTACATTATAATAAAGTGAGCTGTCTGTTATCCATCCGTACTATAAAAGTCTGTAGGGATTTCACAGGCTCCCATGCCTGCCTTCCATGCTGTTTGTTCAGTAACACAGAGCATCAGAAATACTACTCTGGCCAGACTAAGAACAGATGCAAAGTCGGCTGAACACTACACCTAGATTTACAGTTCATACATGTATTTTTGCTTTTAGCTTTAAAGGGATCAAAGGCAATTATTGGCATTTATTCAAAAACCTTTCCTCTAACTTGGCACCGTAGTGCACAATATAATTTTCTCAAATCAAAGCAATATCCAGGTTATGGTCACTATGCCTGCAATATCCTAACACCTATATTTGCATGAACAAGTTGGCACGCTCGGTGTTTGAACAGTCTCTTCAGCCATATGTATTCCAATGTTTTGCCTTCTTATTTGAAAGAAAAAAGGACTGGAAATGAAATGTTCCTGAACTTTTGTGTTCGTCGTTCCTATATTTGGAGAGTGAACTGAGGAAAGGGGCTGGGCAATTTCAAATCAGCTTGCAATTCTGAAATCTCAGGGCTCACCAAACGCTTGCTACTTCATCAAAGGAAACTTCTATAGCATAAGCCTTGATTACAATTGGCAAAAAACACCACAAGAGGCAACATCGTATGAAAATGAAAAGCATGCTAATGTTAATCCTTGTCAAAGCTTAATAGTTAGAGGATCATTCCTACCTTCATACTCTGAATGTTCTTTAGCATAACGTCTCCGATTCTTTGGTAATCTCCTTTAATGTGAGCATTAGAGCGGCCTTCCCTGTCAGCAACAGAAATATCACACACTTCAGTCATGCAATAAAACCACATAATCACTTATAAGCACAGAAAGGAACTCAATAGCTCATTTCTTTTAATATCCTGACCCCCATGCTCCTTCGCTCGGGAGTATGTGAGGAAGCTTCCTGACAGAGATGTAATTCCCAGGTACGGTACACCCTTCACCCAGCCTGGCTTGCACTCCTAACAACAGAGGGCAGGCACTTAACAGAAGGATTAGACCTTTAAAGAAAATTGCTAGCATTTTTAAACGCACCAGAGAAGGCTGTAAATGGCTTGCTAAAAAGGAAGAAATCAAAATCCCATCACAATACGTGGGCTTAGAGCAGAAGGATAATTCTGTTCAGAAACAAGGATTGCACCATGGCACAGGACCCACACGTGTTCCTCCTCTGAAAAGCTTTCTGCTTGTGCAAGGGACAGTGGGACAAAAAAAATCTGTCCAGCATCTGGGTTTGACTCATAAGTGTTATATACTGGCAAGAATTTTCTTTCAGTGTGTCTCTTTTGGTATTAAAAATGCAAACTGCTCCCTCCCACCCAGCCAGCTGCACTTGGGTGGGTGCTCCATTTGGGAGAAACCCAGCTCCTGATGAAAGAGATATTCCTGCTTCTAAACCCATGTACGAGAGAGGCAGGGATACCACACTCTGACTGAATCCATACACACCTTTTAGAAAACACAGGAGGAAAAATCATGAATATAAGAACCTAACTGTTACAGATCTGTTCCAACCAAGTTAGGCTTTCAAAAGAAAATCCCTAAGGGGGGTGTGGGGAGAAGCACTGTTCCCCTCCCCTTTCCGACTTCTAATACTGCATCCAAGTTTCCCGCAGCATGGCTTTTTATGTGCTGTCCTCAATTTTTAAAATTCAGTTCCACTCCCACATCTGAGTATTGGGAGACAGATCTAGTTCTGGTGTGAGCAACTGCAATTCAGCCAAAGAAATGCGCTACCTTGGAAGAGGACAGAAATACAATCAAGCTCTAAATGAACCCAAGGATAACAGGACCTCTGTTTTGTGTTACTGCTAAACGGATATACTGCTTTTCACCCACTTGCAGTGATTCACACTTTTAAGAAAATTGTCTGTGCAGTGAAGGAATAAGTGGACAACCAGGTGGTAAATCTCTCCATTCCTTAGTATCGGCAATTTTGCCGGAGAGGTCCCACACTCACCAAATCATAGAGGATGCAGCTGTTAGGAATATACTTCCACTGGTAAGACACATAGCAATTTTTGATTTAAAAAAAATCCATATTATTACATGAATAGATGCATATTCAGACTTAGTTTTGTTTTGTAAAGTTAAACATGGTTATGTTCATGCTCTGCATGCTTTTCTAACTGGGAAATGTGGAGGGCACAGCTTATGAATACTACACAATAACATCTCCTGTTTTATCCTTCAGCAGACATAGAGACTCAGCTGATAAACAAGGGAATGCTCTATGTTTGTTTGAACAATATCCAGTTCCATAGGCTGTCTTTAATTATTTCCTATTGTGTTAACTCTCCCAGACACTCACATGCCTATTTAAGCAAGAAAAATAAAAAGTTCTCAACATGACTTCTAATGTTTTTTCTGAACCCAAAGGTTACACTGGGATGAGAAGTTGGGTTGTGTCAGTGGTAACTTTAACATCACCAGTTTTGCAAAAGCACTGCATTATACATACCTTGCTATAGTCCAAATACGCCCAAGAAATGGTCTATATTGCAAGGAACAGCAGAAGTATGTATGGACATTACCAGACTACAGTTTCCACATTACCTGAGGATAAAAGTCCAATTTCTTTCTCCAGGAAGCCTCTGTCATCTAATCTCCTCTCTCTATGCTGTTCCCTGCCTTTCCCTTCCCCCACGTCCTATCCATCCAACAGCAATCCCCACTGAGATTTCCTCTGAGAGGTTGTAAATAGAACTTTCCAGCCACTAAAGCTCTCTCAAAATGGCACATATCAAAGTGCCCCCGACTGAAAACCACAACCATCTGAAGTCCAAGGCAGTAGCACCGCACTGGCAGGCAGCAAGGGAAAGTCGCTCTCCACCCGTGCTGCCAGCATGCAGCATCCCATCCCAAATGGTTCATGCTGCGCCGCTGCACACAATCCCAGAAATGTCAAAGCCAGATGAATTTGTGCTGCTGCCAGTAACAACATGGTATTTGGTAATTATCTCTAGAAGAATTCTTGCTTTATGTGTTATTCTCTAACTCTCTGGCATTGCCTGCACCCTTTTTTATGTCTCTACATTTGATTTAATCTAATGGACTTCAGCAGTTTGGTACCTTTCTGATTTACTGCCAAGATAAATATTTAAGGACATCATTACATACTGCTATTTCTAAATAGAAATTGCTTTGCTGATCTCAAGGCTGCAATATAGGTTGGCTAGAATACATACTCGTTACAAATTTCTTATCTACTAGCTAGCTACTTGAAGGCTGACCCCAAGTTTACTGAAGTCATAGTGAGTGCTTCCACTGACTTTGTGAACTTCAGCTAGTATTTAGTGCAGTTGTTCATTGAATAGTCAGGTCCTTACTTCCTAAAAGTTGACCCCTGGCCCCTCTTCAGCATAGCCAGCACTGACTGCTTGCACAGCATCTCATCACATCAGTCACACACAAAGCATCAGGAACATTCCCCTTCATTGGCTTTGGCCACAGACTGGTCTGAGGCTTTTTTTTTAAACAGTTTGAGGGCTTTCAACTCTTACTCTGCATCTTGACAGAGTGAAAAAGAGGGGGAGAAGGGGGTTCCCCAAAAGCAACAGCCTCTCTCCAGCTGCCGTCTGAACAGTGAAGAGCTGAATTGTACCAGAGCCCTCAGCCCAGGCTCACCGAGATAACCTGTGCTGCAGGCAGATGTGTACTGCTGGAAGAAATAAAACCCTAAGGAAATCCAGAAATGTGATGGCTGGGTATTGCTACTTGTTCCAGCCATTCTCCTTGCTTTGGTTATTTATTTCCACACACATGCTCTCTCTTGCAACAGAGATGATTTTCCCACTGGGGATGGTGCATATGCGTGTAGGCTGCGATGTGGAGCAGAGGGGCAGGGAAAGCTGAAGCCAGGCATAGGGGAACATGACGTCTTCACATCTGCCTCCTAAATCCCATCTTCCACTCCACCCCAGCTCTCTGCCGGGACTCCGCAGTAACCCCTACGCTACACACACTGCCCTCTTCCCCAGCTCCTCAACGTGCAAGTCCCAAGTAAACTGGAAGAAAAGAAAACCAAGGAAAAGAGCATCCAAATACACAGAATATTAAAATAAAAACCAGGCACCTGACCCATCAGATGGTGTCTTAGTGCTTCAACAGCCCAAAGCACAGCAGCAGAGAAGAGAGCTCTCCCCGCGGTGTAAGTTTTGAATAACAACACTCAGCTTGCTGGGGGGGAAGAAGCTGCTCATTTGTTGTGCATCGATGCCTAAATTGTTCTTCTTACTCCTTGTTTTCATGGGTCACTGTGTGAACATGGTGTCTATCTGCCAGTGACAAGGGGCAGAGCTCAGGGACTAGGTTCTTACAAATTTTCATCAGGAGCTGATTTATGACCCCCAGCTCCACAGAAAACGCAGGAGCTACTTTCCCTACACATAATGTGCCCTCACTCCACTGACATTGTGTGGGGAGGTCTAAAGCCACTGAAAATCATGCTGAATAGTGGAGATATTATTCTATAATAAGCTCATTTCCCATTTTTCTCAAAATAGTCCCTTCTTTTTTACAGTAATGCAAGTGTACAATTGTAAGCAAAGAGGAGACCGACTTTTATTCCTGATAAGAAACTCAGACACTACCTTATATCTTACTAAAAATGGCCACCAGCTCAACTTACAGGGACTATGCAAGCAGCTATGTTGGATTTTTTGAATTACATAAACTTCTCAGTGCACATCATTGACAAATGAAAGAAATTTCAAGTCAGCCCATACTATCCTCAATCATCCAGGAATGGTAGTAGAAGGAACAGAAATTTGATGGGGATGGTGGAAAGGCAAAGAAGGAGAGAAAGACACCTCAACAGATTTTTTTTTTTTTCCAGGTGAATATAAAAAACTTTGACTGCAGCCCTTCAACTGCAGGGGGAAAAAAAAATAAAAATCAATTGCAGCAAATGATATTTACAGTGTGTGACCTTCTGTTATGTGCTCAGGAACAGCATCTCCCTCCTGGATGCTATAGCTTGTCTTTGAGCACTTAGACACTTTTGACTTTTTAGGAGTATTATTAACTAACGTTCTAATATTAAGAGATACCTTAAACATTCCCCATTACAACTGCCTTTTAAAAAAGAGGAACATTTTGTAACTGGAAAAGAAGAGTTGATAAAAGCAAAACGCCCTTTTCCTTGCTCACACCCTGCTATTACACAGTGCCTCTTACTGCCCTGCCTATTCCAGCCGAGGTTGCAGCTGTCATTTCAGCAGTAAGTGGTGCACAAAACACTGCTCAGAGCCTAAGAAATGTACTAGTGAAGCCACCAGAGCTTCCCAGAGTCCCATCAAGCCTTCAGGGAGCGTACACACATTTAAAGACTTTGGGCTGGCTCTCTCTGTTGTGGGAGAAACCCAATCTACAGCAAGCATGCGTCAGTAATGCTTTTAAACCGTAAGACCTCAGAGCAAGTAACACCACCGCGTGGAAATATACTGAAAAAAACAACGTTTTGTACCTTGCTGTGGGACTTCCTCAGAGGCGATCCTGGGCACATCCCGCTGGGAGAGCCGCTGAGATGAACGTAACATGCCTCTGGGTGTGACTAATGGATCCTGGACAAGCTATTTCTCACCCACCATTTCAAATTCATTTGGGTGTAGCACGGCTTTAATCCCCAGAAGTACCCAAACGTGACTTCAGCAATGCAAACTGTCCTCTCAAAAGTGAGCCCGATGCACTGGGCACCAAGCCCCTCTTAACGTCTTTGTCTCAGGAATCCACACGTCCACATGAGGTTTGTACTACAATACATACCTCATTTTTGCACACAGGACAAAGCCACTTTCGAAGCTGTCCTCTTCATCCCTCTTCACCAGACATGCAGAACCAGGTGAATAGTCAGCACTTGTGCATGTGAGAAGGCAGACAAGGATTGCTGCCTTGTTTATATAAACCATTTATTAGGCTGTTTTTCCTGACCGCAAGTACTACTTCCCAAACAAAAAATGGTTAATAAATCAACATTTAGCTCATCTTGCTACATCTCCCTGAATGCTTTTTATGACAGGTTTTCAAATTGGCTTCCATGAATCCTGACTGAGCCTTCTCCTTTCATATGCTAAGATCTAAGTGGGTTTTTTTGCAAATTACCAGCCACACATTTCTCAGCCGCATCTGGTAGTACTGAGTAGCAGCTTTCCTCAGAAGTGCCTGTGAACTGGGAGTTAAACTACTGGCTTCCCTGGGAGAAAAGGAGTCTGCCTGCATTTCTGGAAAGTACGTAACGCTTTTTCTTCCTAGCACACAGATAAGGCCCAAAATGCAGATTCATACCACCTGATAGGGTTTCCTAGAGCAGAAAAGGCTATCCTGGCTTACCCTAGCAATGCTCTCTGCAGCGCCTAGTGATTGACCAAGGCAGGAAAGTTATGGTTCTCCATTTGCCACTTTCTGTCAGAGTTTACAGAAAGCAGTATAGAAACTTGTAATACAAACATTTAAAGGGGTGTGGGAAGATGAGCTCGATTTTTTTGGCTGGAAGATAGTGCTTGTGGCCCAAAGGAATAGCCTATTAAACAGCTTCGATGAACGAAGGAGCAAAACCTAACTGACTCTGCAGATTCAACTGGCCAGATGCTAATGGAGCATGTCGCGCTCTGCCTGCGCTGCCCACACCTCCTCCTCCTCCTTGCCATAAAATCTCTCAGGCCCTTGGAAATAGGAGCCAGCTTTAAGTCACTGAGCTACACCTCCCATATTTCCTCCCACCAAAAAGGGTTGGGAACTCCTGGCCTTGCACCCAAAGCCTTGCTGAGAAGCAACCTGGATGAGTCCGGGTAGCCAGGACCAGGACCGGGCTGTCCGGGAGCTGGACACGCAACCAAGCGGATTCATGGGCTGCTTCATTGGCCCTGCAACAGCACACAGGCAGGGCAGAAAACATCGCCCAGGGCATGGTATGACTGATCTTAGGATGCTGTGCAATAAAACCACCAGGAATCTGCTCCGTTTCCTGGCCAGAAAGAAACTCTGGCTGTGAAAAATGCAACAACTTCCTATATTCTGCAGCTGGCTGCTGGTGTCAGTGTCAATTCATGTCTTGTTAAAAACTTTATCACTATGCAGTAGACACCGAGATGTGCTGCTCCTAGGAAATGCAGTACTAAAGAGAAAAATGGGCAAATTGTGTAAAGAAACAAATCAGATCTGCCAGAATCTATAGCTGGGTCAAAAGGATACCAGCCCTTAAGATGTTCAGTAGCAAACAGCCTGCCTCTGATGGCAGATTCAAACAGTTCAGAAGCCTTTGAGCAAGCCAGAAATGCTCTGAATAACGTGCATGACCTGAGCTTCCTTGAGCCAAATACTAAAAGTCTATAGATGTTTTAACAAATTAAAAGCACAAAGCCATCTAACAATCGTTACGTGCAATCCTCCCCTGGCCTTGCTCTCCTCGTAGCTCTTTTGCAGAGCATCAGCTTCAATATGATCCAAGCCCTAAGAGACTAGGGAATGGCCTCCTGTAAGAGCTTCTAACACGCAGCACAAAGGTTTGAAACAAACCTTAGACAAACACACACACTGATGCCTAGGTAGAGCGAGCGGGCTGAACTGCACTTTAAGTTGATAAAACGCAGCATCCTACTCACTAGGGGAACACAGACGACTGGTTATGGGAGGCTGTTCCTCTCAGACAAGCTCCCACAACACAGAGTCTTCCAGTAGCTTGATGAAGTCCACGACCCTTTAATTCAAAAGCCCTTTTTTCATAGGACACGCCACCCTCCGACAAATGCAGAGCACGCTCATATCTCGGGACAAGCGTCCCACCTTCCTCCCCGCTCCACCTGCCTGGTAATTTAAAAAAGCTGACATAGAAGAGTCAGATTTAAATGAGTTGGCTTGAATCCTGCCCACAGCTGCCTGCAGCAGTGCCACCGGCTCAGGCAGGCCTGCGAGGAGCTACGCAGCTGATGCAGAGGCTGGGCAGCGTTCTGCACTGCAGCGGTGAATACAGCCGAAGCCCGCTGGCTTAAAACCACCCGGGGCCAAAGACAGAGGTACAGTCGTGACAGTACAGACATTGAGCTAAGTGACCTTGACCACACTGCTGAAGAAATTCCCTACCACATTGCCACCAGCTTCTTCTTCTACGTGCAGAGGGGCTGTTTATTTTTGTCGCTCAACGTTTAATTAAACGGTAATCTCTATAGGATAGAGTTTATTGCTTGCAGCTTATCTCGGCACCTGTGGCATTATATAAAACCACCAACACTCCAAAGTAACACCTGCCAGCAAATCTACCTCCCTTCCTGCGGCACGTATTCAAATCTTCCAGAACTTTAAAAATAAACACCGTCTACAACAGTGGTATTATGTTAGGTAAACCCATGCCGTTGGCTGCAAACTGGATGCAGACCAGGGGCAGGAACGTGACTGCGATTCTGTCAAGTGAATCAGAGCAGCCGACAGAGAATTCCCACTGGCTTTACGCTAACTGTGGAAGGACATGCAAGAGCTGAGCTGACAAAAGTCAGAACAGGGTGCCCAGCTGGAACAAAGTTACCTCAGCAGAACATTTTTGAACAAATTTGGATTGCAAAGTAAATTCATAGCAGATCAGCACTTTATATCACAGGGTAACTGCAGTTTAAATATGGTATTAGGAGCCTTAAACTGAGGTTTACCACTCTGTGAAACTATAGCCTTAGGACGCAAGGAAAAGCTGGAAAACAAAAGGCTGACTCAGCTCTAAAAGAAGCTAACTGAAAAGGAGAAAGAAAATAAACCCATGGAAAGTCTAAAAGCCTAAATATTCTTTCTTTTAACATACCCCCCCCCCTTACTACAGTGCCACCTTTCCACAGCAGGCTGTTATTGCAGCATCATCCAATTTTTGAAAAACATCACACCTGAACAGGAGGTTGACATCTACCTGTAATGCGACCAGCGACCAGAAGGATATAGGGAGAATCTCTATTTCAACATATGCCCCAGGAAAGCACCCAGCAAGCTCACTAGATTAGACTGGTCTGACAGAGAGCAAAACTTGGCCCTTTACTAACTGTATAAATTTTCCTTTTCACACCATGCACCATTAACCCCAACTACTGTTAATCCTACACCATAGTTAAGAGAAACAATCACTATTTCGCAACAGTTGAAAGAGCCTTCTTGGAGTACCTGCAATAAATGTTCCTTACTGGAAAGCAATTAACACCAGTAAGAATCCTGACAGGATTAGAGCAGTAGCAGCCCAGTGAAAAAATACGGGCAGAGCTGCTGTGCAGCACATGCCTTAGGAGTAGTAACCTTATGTCAAGCATCAACCACAGAGTCCTGGGTGAGGATGTCAGCCCTAAGAGGCAGTACCACATTCCCCTCTTCCCAGAAAATGCTAATTCTGGAACTGTGCAGGGTGGGTTTGGATAGCCTGCAATGTGTCGTGCTCTCATTCAATGACCTCGTTCATCACATCACAAGAGCTAAACTCACACACTCTAAGACTGTGTTTTGCTTTTGTTTTGATTAATTAGTTAAAGAGGCATCAAACTGATTAGCACTCATCAGGTCTGCCTGCTCTGCTTTCACATAATTTTCCATTGTCGCTTTTCTGAGAAGGAAGACCTGGGCTCCCAGCACCAAAGATAAACTATCAGAAAATGCCTACACAGAGCAAGACAATCTAGTCCAGACAGGTCTAATCAGAGCAAGAAGAGGACTTCTGTGTGCTGCCTCTGTTCAGATATCAGTGGTCAAATGAACTGAGTTAACAGTCCTGCCAGGGAAGAATTACTCACTTTATAGCTATTTCACAAAAATGCTATGTTTTAGTGTCACTATTACACTAAGGCTAGATAATTTTTAAGCCCAGTGTCCTCTTTCAACACTCTATTAACTTGTAGAGTGCACTGTATACCCTGAGAGCGTCAAAGCTGTGGTGCTGCAGAATGGGAAGCTGGTCTCTGAAATCCTCCCTGGCCTACACCTATTTGACAGAAAGAGGACTTGGTCGTTTGCCGCTCCCTCTTTGTTACTGATAAGCCTTGCTTGCAACATGTTTTTCAGAAGAGCTGCCATATAGAAACACTGACATTTGGCAAGAGAAAGCTTCATCCAGAATTATGATCTCATTTGCATATGTCTGTACCTGACTGAGGTATCCGAACAACAGAGTTTGTCAAGTAAACACGAACAAAGCACGATTCAATATACCCAGTCTGTTAATAACCAACATCTGTGACTTTCACAAATGAATCGCTACAGGAGATCACAAAGAGATGGCAAAAAGGGAATGCAAAAATGCTAAACTGCATGAAATAACACAGCTAAATAACAAACAACAATCTTACCACAGAGCAAGTCTCTGCTCAATTTCCTTGAGAAAACCAGTGTGAAATTTGTGCAAAGGTTCGAAGTTGGAGAAAATGAGATTTTTCAGTGTTTCGGGCATGCAATCCTCTTTACTCACTGCATTCTGAAACCACTACAAAGAAAAAAGAAGGAAAATTATCGGGGAGTGGAATGCAGCAGGTATGATCATTTGCTGTCTTTATACACCTAACCCAGTAAGGACCTTATTTAGCTGGCACTAGGAGTGCAACCCAGGCTACCCCTGACATTCCTGCGTGCTAAACTGGTGCTCTTATCAGTGGTCAGGCCCTGCATAGTTAAAAAAGAAACTCCCTTCCCCTTTGCAATAACTGATCAAATCTTCAAAATTCTTTTCAGGCCCAAACTGGTTGGTCAATACAAACTGAATTTGCAAATGCTGTAGGTGAAAGAGAAAAAGTATTGCAATACTTGCAATGTTCCAGTAAAAACAAAAAATATGTTCTGTTCTTTCTTTTGCCGAGTTCTGTCCGAAATCCCTTTGACAGGAGTTGGCACAGTAAGCACTCAAGCCCGTGTTGCTGTGTACAGATAGAGAACACCATGCGCTTTGCAAAGTGAACAAGTAGAAGGACGGTACTTGGCGCTTCCAAGACAAGACGCCAGTAGCAGAAAATAGGAGGGTCAGTACCAAAGACTGTTAAGACCGCAACAGGCTCCTGCTCAGTTGCGCTCTATATTCTCTTTTTTTCACCCTAACAGACCTATGGGTGACGTAAAGCCATAGGACTAGGGGGCTTGCCAAGGTGGCACGGACTATTATCTTCAACATAACACTGCTCCCTCCTCACTACCTGAGGGGTTCCAGCTATCTATGGTTGACTTCCAGCAGTGCCCAGAAGGCTGTTACAGTGGTCTTGGTTGATGCTGCATCAGCTGAAGCTGACCCAGGCCCTTGATAAAGAGAGATCCCTCCCAAGCCTCCCTCTCCCCCACTTTATCTCTGGACTGAGCAGAGCTAAGGTTGAAGAACTGCACACCTATCAAGTCTCAAAATTCATGCACGACACTTGTTCCTTCTACCTTTTCCAATGACGCTGGCTACTTGTTCGCTCTCAGTGGCCTCCTGGGCCAGTCATCTGTGGAGCACAGCTGATGGGCCTGCCGATTAGCTTAGAGCCAGTTGTATGCCTCTCGTTGGCACAGCAAATTCAAATTTGCCTGCCACAAGAATAAAAGCCGGGGGGGAAATGGGGTTTAAGCTCTGAAGAGTGAAAACTTTCTGTTTCTGCAGCCACTGGGTGAAACAGAAGATGAAAACGGCGTATCTGCTGCTGAGACTGCAGCCGTGACCACCATCCACAGCTCCTGGCCTCTACCCTCATCAGCCTGGCTTCCCAGAAAGCCAGGGTCAGCAGGCAGTGGAGTCACCGCTACCTTGCTGCTTTTAACAACCGTGCTGCTCCAGCCTACAGTGGCTATGTCTAAGCTGGCATCAGATCAACTGCCTCTGCCACGTGGGCTCCTGGAACAGATGAGAAACTGGGGAGAAGGTGTCTCTCCCCGGTTCCTAGCTGGTACCAGCAAACTCCTCCCTGCAGCACGTCCTCCTTACCGCCACACTCAACACAGGAGGTGGCAACGCACCTAACGGAGTTTCACACACTGGATGATTAAAGAGCTGGGAGGTCTGGAACTGGCAGCCCTGCTGAAATACCATGAGGGGTTTTGGATCCAGTGCCCTTTTACAGACAATTGTTATTTAAGGCCAAATCTTGCGCTCATTGCTCTTGGAAGTTAAACAAGACTGTTGGTGCGTGTGCAAAGAAGGCACGTATTTGCCTTGGTGATTTTAACAATCACACTCTAATTAGATGCTACAGATTAAGGACTTGTTTAACAGACAGTTTCACTTACTGAAAAAGCAGAATCATTCAAACAGGTGCTCCACAATATTTCATGTTAAATGGAGGGCATTTAAACCAGGAGAAAACATTTATATGTCCCTCTAAGGAGCTACTTCAGTTTTAAGAGAAGTCATTGAAAACCCACAGGCATTTTTAGTAATTACAACCACAAAGTATGAGAGCAAGAAAAAATAAGTGAACTGCGTCCCAAGTTTCTCAACCTGATACAGTTTCATAATGCATGTTACTAACCACAGTGCAAATCTCTACTTTCTGCTTTTTGTTTTATTTCCTCCCTAGAGCTGTACTCCTGTGCACTGCAGAGAATACCTACAGTGCAGAATATAAAAGTAGCATGAAACAGCTAAGATGTTAAATGGAGCAGATGAAATACTACTGCTGACTACAGCTTCACATGTTTCATGAGTAATGCTCAAGTAAACATACCGATGTGATGACTTCAAGGTCCTTCAGGTATGTTCGTTCTGTGGTTGCTACTTCTTTAGCGATGAAGTAAGCTTTCTCAGTTGGGAATCTCTGCAAATTGCAAACACATTAGGTTTTCATCTGCTTTTATGGAGCTGCTTTCTGTAGGAAAAAACTGCAGACAACAATCACCAAGAGAGTTACAAACTAGTGACCCTTGCTTGTGGTTACTGTGACTCATGCTTGAATGTTTCTAAGCCCTGAAGCCCTGAAAACAATCCTTCCTTGGAAACACGAGAGAACAAGCACTTTCTATGGGTTCTTGAGAGACTTTTTTTCTGCCAAGGTGATTTCTACAGCTTTGGGGTGCTGATGTTCCTTTCAGGTTATTCCACATATCTGGAGCAGGACATATTCTGAAGTTCACAAAGAAATCCTTTGCAGGCTAGATAACCATTTGAATCAAATTTGACAAATATCAAATTTGACAAAATGACAAAAAATTAGTGCCTGACTATTGTAAGTTTCATCGTCAGGATAAGAGTCCACAGTAGAAACACTCTCTCTCTCAGAAAAAAAAAAGAAAAAAGAAAAAAAAAAATCCCTGAGATTTTCCCAGTGCAGCTGGACAACCTAACAGTGGGAGAGGGGAAGGATTTTAGGGTAAGTGACAGATTTCAAATTTCAGGGGAAAAAAATCCAAATCCTCCTGTGTTATCCAAGAGGCAAAAGTGATTTTGACCTCTTAATTCTGAAGAGCCAAAGGATCCCAATTATCTTGCTCTGTGTTGCTCAGGAAGCAAAAAGGAAGAGCAAAACATCCATAGATCTTTTGCTTCTACATTTCCTTGCTGAAGATCAATGATACAGAGGATGCACCAGAAAGGGATGCAAAGAGAGACTGTGTGGGTGTCTCCTAGTCAGTATACAACCCCACAGGAACCATCATCAGCTGGTATATACAGCAGTCACTGGCTGCTGTAACTTGGACTGACACAGAGAATCTTGAGTATACTAACTGATTCCTGGCTTTTCCTCTTCACAAATTCCTCTCGCACATCTTGCTAACTATGCACAGTGGGAAAAGAGATCTTCCTTACACATGCTCCCACTCTGCAGCAAAGCCATCTGAGTTCCCACCTTCTTCTCCCTGAGATGCTCCAAGCTCAGGAGAGAAAGCAGGCAACAGAAGGACAAGAGCAACCCCCTCTCGCCCTGCAGCACAGGAGGGACGAGCCGGCAGGCACCCAGAACCCCCTGGCTCAGACAGAATCACTTCTATCTTCAAAAAGCAGGTTTGGATGTGATGCTTCCTTATGGCTTTACTGCAGTGATGGGGCTGAGCCAAACACTCCCAGCTGAACGCTGCAGGCTGTGGCTCAAAGCGAGCCTTTCCTACTCCCACAACCAAATGCTCCCAGTGGTGCTCCCAGCAGAGACAGACTGGAGAGCCTGGTTTGCACACTCTTGCACAGGCTCAATGCTGTTCCTTTTCCCTCTGTCACCTGGAAACTTTCCCTCCAATAATCCATTGGAGTTGACTGTTTTGTTACAACAAACTACCAAACTCCATTCCTTAAAAACAAGCTAGATTTATAGGAGACTCTGTCAAAACAAGCTCTTCAGGTTGCAACCAACAGGACTGGGCCAGATATATCCCACATTAACCTTAAGGACACAGAGCTACCTCTCTTCTCTCTGCTACTTAAAGAGCAGCTGGGGCCCCTACCTCCTGCACCTCTGTTGAGGAGAATGAATCCAGAGCACTGAGCCCTCAGCTACCGCAGTTTTGTGGTTCCAGCCTGACCCGCTCCAAACTGTAAGTTTGGCCTCAGGAGCACAGGGATGCTCTTGGACACACCATGACTGAGGACAGCAGATACCAAGTGACCCAGCCAACTTAAGTTATCTGGGTGGATCTATGATGAGGAAGCTGCAGGGGGGCTAGATATTAGTCACTTTGACAAACAGCAGTAGTCGCAACACAACATGGAGAAGAGAGCCAAGGCCAACTGCCTCTGCCTCACCTTTCTTTTGACCTCTTCCTCATCATCAGTCCTGACGCACGATGGGTCATTCAGCAAAGGGCTGACCAAGGGAGATGACTGCTTGGCATCAGGGCTCAAGTTAGGAGATAAAGACATATTTGCCACCGACGGTCCTCCTTGGGAATTGATGGAAAGCTCTGAAAGGTGAGGGCTGCCAGTCAGAGAACCTGCTAAAAAAATGGGAAAAGAGAAATCAGTTAGGACAGGCTCTCTCTAGAAAGTTCCAAAAAGAGTTACAACCTTAAGTTGCAGCATGTGATATTACACTACAAGACACAGCCATCAGTGTCCTCAAACTAGTCCAAATGGACTTGAAGCCAGAGGAACTGCATCCATTTGCATTAACCAAGTGACTGAAGCATTCTTTTAGCTGATGAAACTGGCTGAAATTAGTGTCTCTGTAGGGAGGGGATCAAGGCATACATGACTGAGCTGCAATATTTACTGCTAAACATCAAATTAATACCAAATTTTTCACCATTGTAATCCACTCTATGAAAGAGAATAAATACAAGAAGGGGAGTCACCCTAGGAGTACCATTCTTTCTAGCAAAGTAGAACTTCAAAGACTCAAATCAGTACTTCATAGTAGCTACAGGACACAAGTTAGAACAAATTTATCTAGTGCAAGTCTAGAGAAAAAGAAACAATGACTTTCTACAGCAGTGTTGCTGCTAAGACCAGTTAGATCTAACACGAAGGGAGAAAACTACTAGTTCCCCAATTACTACACACAACACAAGTATGTATATTATACCTTGTAGGTCTTTCCATGCTCCTCTGATTGTTTGGGATGGAAATGCTAGCATTACATTTGCATAAGACAGGCAATACTTTTAACGCACAAAGCATGACAACTTTAGATGATCACAGATATAAAGTCCCATTTAATTTTGGATTAAAAATATTAAAGAATTAGACAATTAATTACACTTCCATGGATTCATATACACTACATCAAATATTACTGAAATTAGCATTTTGTCTTCTGGGAGGCAGCCAGACTACTGACCGCACAAAGGGAAGAGTTTGCCAAAAATGCCCCGTGTTCTCCCAGTTATCCGCTCCTTCAAACCTCTGAAAATCTAAACCTGTTTTAGAAGATGGATCTGTCATGTGGAAGAACATTTACAGTCTGTACCATTTTGGCATTACACGTTAAAATCCAACCAAAAAAACGTGACAAGCACTTGATTACCACAGGTAATAGGCTGTCTAGGATTAAATGTAAAACACATACATTACCATATATAATTAAGGTCAAATACATTTTACTATCATGTGTTTATGTCCTCCCTAGATTATGATAGGGAAGTGTTCTATTGCTACACAGCTGAGATACTCCAGTAAACAGAGGCACCAATAAATATAATTAGGCCAGTAGTAAAACCTATTTATTTTATGGAAGAACTCAAGATTTATTGCTAGAACATGAATGTTTTCCAGTTCCAAACCAGTTCATGTTTATATGTCATTCCTTTGAAAAGAGAAGGAAACAAACAATACAGTTATCAGTTTACGTAATCATGACAGTTATGTAGCCTATTATAAATCAAAGTCAAAGCAGTATTTGTCTGAAATAAAGGTCTGTATTATTACAGCTAGCAAGAAAGGGTTTACCAACAGTTTCACACTAAATCAATGTTCAGTGAAATTTGAGAAAATGCCACAGCTTGTTACACAAATGTCAATTTTATTGACACTAGCACACAACTGTATACAGTGTTTTCAAAAGAAATGGAATTCATCATTGAGAAATAGTGAAACAGATTAATAGCAAGGTTGTAAGGTTAAAAGTACTTAACTCTGTATTACAAAAGACATAAGAAAAGTGGTATCACCTCAAACGTGGAAACAAAGAAATTCTGGCACTATCCCTGTCATTTGACAGCGAATAAATGATTTGCACCTCTGTGAGAAGTTCACAGGCATTATAGACTAGAAGTTAAATAGCACCTATCTGTGATAGATAGATATATCGACATATCTACCTACCTATTTATTATCCCGGGTCTAAGTTCTGATGTACTGGAAATTTTATCAGTACAACTCCAAGTATTTCAAACTATAAAATATCAAATGGACAATGAATTAAAGACTTCCTAACCTATACTTGGAAGACATAACTTGGGAAAAGTATTATGGAAAGTGTCACCAAAAAGCTTGCCTAGTGGCTCACAGCACTGAGTATACACCCCATTGATTAAAGACTTGCTCATCAATACATCACTGACATTCTCAAAGTTATTTTGCAGCAAGCTGAAATGCTACATCCTCTTTTTTGCTATCAATGTGGACATGAGCAGTGACCAAATCCAACCACTACCACTTAGAAGCAAGAGCTCAGTCAGACCCCATCTGCCAATATGCTGAACAAGTGAAAATTAAAGCTTACTATAAGAAAGTGGCTATATTACAAAAGGGCCTCAAAATGCTGTTACGTTAGCACATTCTGGGGCCTAATTACAACCAACATAGCCATAAAGATTCAACACACTGGATGTTGTTCTGGTAAAGGTGGGAAACAAACTGACTGACTCACAGCAGAACGAGTAAGTCATGAAGAAATGAAAATGGAAGGTCTTCTCTCCCCCAGTGCCAATCAATCAGGACATGTGTCATGGCAATGCTGCAAAGTGACTTTCTCTTTTTCATGGAGGTGAGGAACAAATAACCTGTATTAACCAAATGGTCTTTTGTCAGTATTTCATCTGACCTCCTGCCACAGAGGAGTATATTCATACAGGCTCTACTCATCAACTACATACTGCAGAATATAAACAGAAGCAGAAGGGAAAAGATCAATCTTATTTACAAGGTACTGAAATTCCTCACATTTTACCCTAAAGGATTCATTGATTGACAGGCAATTATTAGCATGTCAGTTGCCAGATATCAGGTGGTTCTGCACAGCACATTAGGGGCCTAAAAGTTTTGCAGCTGGTAACATGGAATCATCTTTGCTCGTACTTCAAGAGATTTTTATTTAGATTCAGACTTGGGCCATCTTTCAAATATAATGGAGCCAGCTACATACACACAAACCAAGAGACAGGTACAAAAAAGTTTATATAACGATTGCTGAAGCACATACTAAAATTATATCCTTGATGGAGTGAGTAGGAATTAAGCATGTGCTTCAATTCTTTTCTGAGCTTGGGTTTAAGAAGAGAAACAAACACTGGTTGATGACAGTGGCAAATAATGAGAATGCACTTTACCACGGTACACCAGATTAGCCCAAAATATCGAGTGGTTCTTAGTTCCACTGAGTCAGTTTACTCTCCAGACACTGGGGCAAGGTGCTGCAGTAGGGAAGGTGACAGAAGAAGTAAACCTTGACTGAAATCTAACTTGAAAAAAATCTACAAAACGACAACGGCATTTTACATGGCCACAGGACATGAAATTATGGGTTATCATCCTAGCCTTACACGTGTCTCAAATCACTCCCCACCAACATACATGTTCCATGTGCTAAGTAAAATGAAGCCAGTGGCTAAAATCAAATACTTAACAGCTATACCTCTGTCAAAACACACATCACAGTTGCTTGCTGCAATTTGGTGGTGGGAATGCATGGGAGTGCTGGCAAGCTGCGGGTCCCCAGCTAGAGAGGGGCAGGTTGGGCTCTGCGCTTTTCTGGCCAGCCGTGATCCATCCCCCTCCCAGAGCTCAATTCAAATCCTAGGTGAGCTGAACTGCCTGCTGCCTCTTTCCTTGTTGACTACACAGACAGCATAAGATGATCTGAAATCCCTGGTTAGAGACTTTAACCTAAGATGGGAGGGCTCCCCTCTTTGTGAGGAAGACAAATGGGACTCAGTGTATCCTGAAGATACCCCTCCTCTATTCCTTTTCTCCTGAAACTGCTGAATAACAAACTCAGGCCATTTAGGGTTCTGCATCTGCTTCAAAAGAAACAGTTTCCATCCCTACGCACTGTGTTTTAACAGCGAGGCAAAGTACAGCAGTGTTAAGATGCTCCTGGGTATGTTCCTCCTCTGTAGGGTACCAAGAACTGAAAACAACTCAATTATGGAAACTGAGAGGAAACATCAACCATTACTGAAGGTGACTGAAATTCTGCTGGAAAACTTCATGTACACCTACAGTGCTCACTAACTCAGCTGTTAAGGGTTATATTGCTCTCAAGGTTTATAGGTTTATTATTAGAAATTATAACACATTAAGAGCCAGAAAAGCGCTGTTCTCAGTACCTGGAACGCTGCAGGGCTTATTCTCTCTTAGGCTTGCTCCACAGCCTGCCCTGCAGTCAGGGGAAGCTCGTGACACCCAGATCCCAGTTACCCTGCTTTAAGGACAGATGAGCGTTTTCTAAACTCCAGTCTGGTAGATGAAACCCAAGCTGTTGCCCCCATCCCACTTATGAGCACTCTTTAATAAGAAAGTATCTAGCAGAGCTGCCGCTGCTGTGGCCACACAGCTAGGTCTAGCTTAATTTTCTATAGTCACAGTGGTTGCACACCTCTAACTCCTACCTCAAAGTTTTTTTCAGAGAAAGACTCATAGTACAAAATGACATGGGGGACAGACAGTACCAGATGAAGTGGCAGGAGTTTTAATATGCACTTCACCAATGACTGAAGTACCTTAGATTGGAGAAGAGTTTAATAAGGGTGTCCAGCCCTTCTCTCCCCAACTGTGAACCAGGCACACCCACGCTGCTGAACTGAGTTACAGGATGGAGATTTCTGCTCTGCTCTCCCTCAGTGCAAGAACAAAATCCCACTGACTTCCACAAAAGCTTGAGGGGGAACCGTTCATCAAGCTGCATTTCTCTTCCTCATTAAACAAAACAAGCTGGAGTGCTGGATACAGTTTGTTAAAGATCTTGAAAAGTAGTTATATATCAGCCATAAATTTATGTACAAACATCCCTGAATCCAGTACCAAAGAATTTGAGGAGGAACAGGAAGAAAAAACAACTCGGGAAGAGATCCCATGTCACACATAACCAATAATTCTGCCGGGCTTGAAGAGGAACATGACAGGGAGAAAGGTTTGCTTTGACTTCACAGCTTCAAAATGCATGCCCACGTCAGGAGTGGCAGTGATTTGGGAGAATGGTACACCTTCTCAGTGAACCAGTTTCCTCATACTTAGGATAAAGCATCAGCCAGCAAACGGACAGAACAATTAAACC